TAATAATAAGAAATCGTCACCATAATGCAGTTCAAGTGCAACAACAGTTCCATGAAGTTCGAAGAGTGGCTATTAGTCAGTGGACAGTGAGAAGACTGAAGGAAATTGACCTGGTCCAAAACTTACTCCAGCCCATCGACAAGCACGCCTACGCTTTGCACGGGATCATCTGAATTGGACATTGGGCCAATGAGAGCGATTTGCAAAATGATACAATGAAGAGCGGAGCCCTTATGGAGGTGGTTCCTGCATGATATGGGGTGCAAATCTGTTTTCATCCGTGGTACCATATGTCGACTACGTTGGGGAAGAATTTATTTTTATGAATGACAATGCTAGGCCGCACATCGCAAGATCGGGCAAGATAACATTACAGAAGTACGGTTTTCGAGTTACGGAGTGGCCAGCATGCAGTCCCGACCTCAGTCCGATCGAACATTGATGGTATGAGCTAAAACGGAGAATTCGAGCTAGACTTCCTACCCCAACCTCTATCCCAGAGATTATTGTTGCAGTGCAATGGCTTAACATTCCACAAGAAACAAAAGAGATCTATTCCTAATCGAATAAGACATATTATTAGTGTAAGAGGGGGTCATACCCACTATTAAAAAATAAGTGTTGAGCTAATTGTCAATGCCAAACCTAAAAAGTAGAAATAAATTTTAATCAGTTTAAACTCGTATAAAATTGTCTCTCAAGCGTCATTTTTTGTTTAGATCTGATCAGCAGTTTCTAAAAAAAAAATCAGCCGATTTCTATACATGCATGTTTATATTCTAGAAAAACTATATAATGAAAATTTTCGAAAGTATACGCGCTTGGAAACGAAACTTATATCTCGGCAACAGGATATGATCAGGGTCATTTTTTTTTTAATTATTTTTGCCTGTCTGTTCTTCGTTCTCTGTCGATGCTTCGTAAAAACCCGAATAACTTCAGAACCGTTAAAGCCAGGATGCTGAAATTTTTATCCTTTTAAACTGACCACTAACCTATTGAAACTGGGGATGGGGCTGGGAGGTAAGTCCGGAAGAATTTTTAAAAAATTAAAAACCGCATTTGCAAAAAATTATTGAATCAAACGACGCGCAAGGTCCGGACCAAAAAACTTTATTCGTGATGATTTTTTCAAAAATGTAAAGTAATTTGCAAAAAACTGACAAATGGGCCTCCTTTATAATGGCAATTCACTATAACTAGGAGGCTTTCATTTTGTTGTCAGTTTCTTTCACATGACTATGGATATTGTATTCAAAGTTTCCACACATTGTACAGGGTGTTCGGGATATTCTATGCTATATTCAAAAACGTCATAGGTGACTCAAATATGTAACTATCGTTTTCAAATTTGACAAGGAAGAAAAAGCCCGTAGTCAAATTTAAACAGTAGACATTGAGCGCAATCAGATATCACGAAATATTTGTTAAAAAAATTAAAATTTTATTTTGATTATTTTGGCTTACAGAGAAATTTGATTTTCTCAGAAACCTTTCGACGGATCAGCAAAATTTTAGAACCAAGAAATGCGGGAGATCCTTGCCTATTACTTTCATTTTAGGCGTTTTTTCGATTATATGCATGTTTTTTTAAATTATGGGCGAAAATCAAAAAAATAAAAGAGAGTGAAAATTGTACTAAATTTTTAACCGTAAATCAAAATTCATAAAAAATATGACTAATCGGTCCAAACACTTTTATATGCCATATCAAGAGCTACAAGTTTTGTATTTACGGTTTCCGTTTATCCAATACGCTGTTGAAGATATTTGAAAAAATCCAAATGAAAATGACGGTAATAGTAAATGACGCGATGACGTCATTTACTATTACCACGTACTGCATGGGTTCAGAAAGCAAGTATTCGGTTGAAAACCACTTACTCTATTGGAAAAAATCATATACCAGGAAACGTGGGAGATCCAGGGCTATAACCTCTATTTCGAAAATTGTTTGAATTATATACGGGGTATGTCGTTTATGGGAAAAAAAATCTAAAACATCCTTAAACTTTCCGTTTTTATACATAGTGTATGAATAAAATTACATCGATTTTGCGAAAGTTCCATAGTGGTCCGTAGGCGCACGATAGAAAAACAATGCGTCCCTTTACCACAAGAAACCGCGAAGCTCCTTCTTTTTAAAATAAAAAGCTGCTTCGCGCTATGTTCCACGAACTTGCCCCGTCCAGCGACGATTTTTCGAAACCAATCATGTTTATTCTGAAAAATGTGCAAAATCGCAGTTATTGTAAAAAATTTTCGATTCGTTTCTTTCCTTCTACTTAACATTATAATTTTTTTTTTCTCTAAAACCAATTTTCAGGCAATTCTCTTTATTTGTGGTTAACTTAATTTACATTTAAATAGAGACTTGCGATGAAGGACTGATCGGTCTATCTAGAAAGTGCTATGATACAAATCACTCGGTTTCGGAATAATAACATTTTAATTTTTCAATAAACCATTCCATTTTTCTAGAATAATTGATGATTTCTTGATGAGCTCGTCGATTTTTTCGAAATATTAAGCCAAAAACTTAGAAGCAAAGGGCTATCTTGAGCATTTTTTCCATTTTGCTGTTTCTTGCCCTATATTTAGTAAAACACAGTTTGGCACAAGTGGTTTTATTTATAAAAATATTTATATTAAATACGCATTTACATTTTAAATAGCTTTATTTTTAAACAACTTGAAATTTGCGTGCCGAAGTTAAACATCTGCCGAGTTGCTGAAATGTTACTATTGCCTAAGAATTCGTTGCTCTTAAAACTTGAAAATTTTGATTTAAACTGAATTCATCTCATAACCGTGCCCTACTCGGAAGAAGAATAAATGCCTATTTAAAAAGGCATTAATGTACTAATTTCATATTATTCTCATATTAATTAATAAAAACCCCTAACGAACCGCAGTTGCAATAAATATGGGTCAATCTTTTAGGCACCTTCAGTCAAAACATCAGCTCACAAGACAGACCAAGTGCCTAGTTTATGTACGAAAAAACAAGAACGCAATCTCTGTTCGAGGTTTTGCCCTTTTGGGTGACCCAGTTCGTTGAGCCCGCCGGGAAGCTCGCCTGTCGTAGGTGTCACGCGACTTATCCGGTGGTCGTGAGACATTTTCTCGCTTGACGGTCGAGCCGGTGTTTATTTTGTTTTCGACACCTCGAGCTCTTCGGGACAAGAACGGCGCGTCCTTCACGTCGTTTATTAAATTTCGCGGACCTACTACGCGGACCGCAGGCCGGAAACGAAATGGCATTTTCTCTCGCGCCCCCAAAACTCGTCGCCGGAAATTCGACATCTCGTTAGCCGGGATACGGGACAATTTAGTTTTCCCATTTTTTCACACAACAAATGGGCGTTTGTCTTAAAAGATTTCTACTCGGTTTCCGGCTCGGAGGACGCCGAACCTGGCCCGATCGTCACATATTTGTTGTCGATCTTGACCGATCGCACGAGCGACGCTTGCGAATTAATCCTGCGTTTCCTGCTCCAGATAAATCCTGCGTGTGTCACCGGCTCAAGGTCAAGCGTTGTTTATGTAATTATGATATAACGACCTCTAGCGGTCGCGGGTATTTTTTTCACACGCCCTCCGCGGGTTTCTCATTCGCCGTCGTCCTTTGACTGTCCGGAATTTTAATCGACTAGCAATATATGCAAAATGGCGAAAAATCGAAAACAGCTCGTCGCACTTCGCGCCCTACGGGATATCTTGGAAGTAGCCAGATTTATTCTAGATATGATTTTGTGCTCTGTGATATTATTGTAACCTAAACTAACCAATTTGTATTATCCATGCCGTAATGAAAAAAAAATAACTTACATAAAACCGCATCAACAGTTTAATCTATAATGATAATGCATGAAATTGATTTCGAATAGGCCAGGGGACGTCATTGGACGGACGTAACTGTCCGCTCGGTTGCAGTTTTTGAGATCCCAACGTAATGAGGCCGATCCGAAAGGGGCTTAAAGTCAATTATTTCTGTCTTATATCGCAAGCCATGCAGCCTAATTCAATCTGGATTATTCTTTAAATTTGGCAGCAAATGCAACTAGCGTCAATCGCTCGTGTGTGAGTGTGGGGAGGGAAGAAAGCTCAGGGAAGAAAGCTCACCCCCCCCTCCCGGCGCCACCAAAAACCCGACGCTTAAGGGATCATCTGGCGCAATAACACTGAACAAATTGGCTGCGTCACAGATTAACTATACTCAGATGCGAATGTACGCTTTGAAGAACTCCGTGGTGCTAGGCTTATCATTAACGTTCAGTGGAAATACAGAGAGTTATCAAAAAGAAAAAAGGGGGGGTGTGGGAAAAACTTGCCCCAAATTTTTTATTTGTCGAATTCTCGTAATTTGGTACTGCATTTTTCTCGAAAAAGGTGTGTTAAAGCGAGGTGCGACAAGGGTAACTTATTTACGTAGAAAACTTAAGATTTTCAAATTTTGCAGTCCAAAAATTTGGGGCAAGTTTGTCCCACGCGTCCCCTCTATTACCCACCCCTGAAGACAATCCATTACTAAGTTTTGGTTTGTCAAACAGAGCCTAAAAAGTTTAGTAACCGTACCAAATTTTATTTAAAAATATTTACGTGTTTCGAAAATACAAAACCTCTTCAAATTTAGCACCCTGTATGTTAAAAACTAAGACGTCTTGGACCCTAATTTATATGAACTTTCCAACTCTTCCGATTTTTTAATTTAAACTTTCCGCCATGTATAACAAAAAACCGTCAAACTATTCTGCTTTGCTACACATAACAAATAACTGAAGTAAATTTTTCCTTTAAAACCAAAAAACAAAAATCGGTACTCAAAAATTAGAACCACGGAACTTCACAAATTTCGAAACACTCCCTAACGTTCGCATCTGTCTAAACCATGGGGTTGCGATTTCTCGCCGACGGGGGCGACACGGCGCAGGACCATGGAGAGGATTACGATGGAAGTCCTACGAGAATCCGTAGAAAGACAATAGCCGAAGCAGAGCCTTTCGAACGCGCGTACGAAGGTATGACGGAAAAACTTTACGAATACCAAGGGTGCGCGGGTAGGATTCACGGTATTAGGGACAACCTGAGGGAGAGATACCGCGTCTGGAAGGAGACGAACCCTCAGGGAGTGGCGAGCTGGTTCAAGAACAAATTCTACCACCAAGATGCCCAGTACGAAGATTATTCCCATATATTCAGGTGAGGCAGTAACTGATAGTAATATTCATTAAATTATTGCTTTAACGGTATAATAACGGGGCCATGGATTAATTAGTCAATTAATATGAAACCATTCCAAGTAATAAAGGTAATTTACAAAAAATCCAACAATACTATAATTAATTTATTTAATTCTATAACCATCTCGGGTTATTATAGCAATTTATCAATTTCCTACCATAATACTACGGAGGCGCTTGGTTCAATTAATCTTGATAACATCTTAATGGGCTATAACTTTTTTAGAGATATCAAGGAATACAAAAAAAAACAAAATGTAGGGTTAGTAGCCAAGTTTTTTTCAAAATAAATAAGAACTAAAAGTTCAGATTTTCACGAAATTATATATTTAGACATGACAATTGTTTCGACAACACCGTGTCTTATCAAATGTCACATTCATACGACGTATTAGGATTGTATGAAGCACATCCAGTTTCCTCTATTACTAGAGTATGGAGACGGGTATTTCTCAGTTTTGAAGGAATATAATAAGGCATTCAAATTTCGTAAAACTCAAAAACTAAGTGCAGAACAATGTCAAAGGAGGATGCAGTTTTGTTTGGATTTTTTGAATAGACATAATGAGAATAATAATTTTTTGAAAAACATTTTATGGACTGATGAAAATTCGTTCACTGCAAAGAAAGGGTTGTAATAGACAAAATACGCGATATTGGACTTTAAATAATCCTAGGCAAATACACGAAATAAAAATCCAGCGGTACCAATCAATTAATGTATTTTGCGTCCGATAGTTATTGATCAAAAGTTAACTTTAGATCATTATTTGCAACTCTTAGAGCACCAAATAGAACAATATATAGAAGATTTACAGCTAAATATATCAGCGCTGATTATATGGCAGCCAGACGGTGCCCCTCCTCACAATGTTGTGAAAGTTAAAATTTTTCTTAAAATAGAATATCCTTTCAAAAATCACTTGCACAGAACTCCTTGTAATAATGTCGTGGAACTTCAGCAAAGGATTTCAATTAAGAGACAATCCAGAAACGTTAAAAAAAGCAAGACATCATAAAAGTAAAGTGTATGAGAAAAGTGTTCAGGAAAAGGGTGGTCACATACATTAGTATTTTGAATAGTTATAGAATTTTTTACTTCACTGTGTCTTGTCTTTTTTAGTGTTTTTATTCCACTTTTTAAAGTGTTTTACATGACTGTAATCTGTTAAAAACAATTTTAACTATTTTAACCCCCTTAGCATATAACCCCCGCTATCAACGCTTGATATTCGGCAAGTAGGGTTACAGTCTGCTATTGGTAAACTTCTTTCGCATGTTCTTTACTATACTTTTAATATATTCCCTAAGCAGTACTAAGTAGTACCTCTTCAAAACTCCTGGATTCGTCCTGCGTCGATGTTTGTTGAGTCGAACTAGGTACCGTTTCGCCAATCATCCTGTTGCCTTTTTCAGAATTTAACTGAAACTGGCTCGCATTTTCCCATATTGGTGACAGGTGAAAACCTGAGTTGCGGTTAAGATTGATAGGTTGCTTATCGATTTCTATAGATTCTCGGATTTTTCTTTGATAAAAGAATTGATTACGGGCTCGGATTTTTAAGAGCTTTTAATACAAAGATACAAAGAACCAAAGAGCAAGAACCCAAGAACCAAAAGCTAAACATATATATATATATATATATATATATATATATATATATATATATATATATATATATATATATATATATATATATATATATATATATATATATATATATATATATATATATATATATATATATATATATATATATATATATATATATATATATATATATATATATATATATATATATATATATATATATATATATATATATATATATATATATATATATATATATATAGAGAAGGTCTAAGAAAAAACAAAATATAAACTATATATATATATATATATATATATATATATATATATATATATATATATATATATATATATATATATATATATATATATATGTGTGAATTTTTATTGAATGTAGTTTCTTGGACCGTCGCGTGTATATTTTCTTCAATTTCTCTTGGGTATTCGGTCTCTCGAAAACAATATATGTGATTCTTCTAAATATTTATTAACGTTTCGATCGTAATTTTGTTCTTTTTCAAAATATTCTTATTTTGTATAGGTGACATATATAACAATTAATGACATTTGACGTTCTGTTGATATATTAAAAATAAAAATAATTTGTCAGCGAATATTTTATACGGATTGGAATGGCATGCAAAACAGGTACGGATGTTTTTTATTATTTTTTATTATATTGGATAATTTAATTTTGTTAGTTTAAAATTGAATTGATATTTTGTTAAGGCTTTTAGAATCGGTTTTGTAATTAATTGAATTTTTGTTTTTTTTGGATTTCTATACCTTCATAAAGTTCTCTTTTTTTGTTGTTAGGTGTTTAGGTGTTTAAAAGAATCACATTAATTGTTTTCGAGAGACTGAATACCCAAGAGAAATTGAAGAATATATATATATATATATATATATATATATATATATATATATATATATATATATATATATATATATATATATATATATATATATATATATATATATATATGTTATTATCGATTCCATTGCAGGCGCAAAACGCGAAGGGAGTTGACGCGGGTGTCGGCCGCCGTCATGGGCATAGAATTCTCGTACGCCGCCGAAACGGCTTTCGTGTCTCCCACCCTGCTGAAGATCGGCATAGAGCACAAACATATGACGTTGGTGTGGGCATTGTCGCCCCTCATAGGTTTCTTTCTCACCCCGGTGCTGGGATCGCTCAGCGACAGGTGTCCCTTGAGGGTTGGCAGACGTAGGCCCTTCATATTCGCCATGTCCGTGGGCGTACTCCTAGGATTGGTGCTGGTACCCAACGGCGAAGGTATGGGGTACGGGATGGGAGACCCCAAGCCGCCCGATTTTAAGGACGCGGTGGCGGCTCATCGCACTTCTGCTCGCGGAGAGGAGTACAACGTCAGCGACGTCATGCCTTACAACAACACGCACCCGTGGGGGGTGGCGTTTACTGTCATAGGCACGGTTTTGCTAGACTTCGACGCCGACGCGTGCCAAAGCCCCGCCAGGGCTTACCTTCTCGACGTCACCGTCTCAGGTAGGTAATCGTAAAATTATCATTGCATTAAACATTTTGTGTCCCACTTTTAAATTCCAGACGACCACGCGAAAGGGCTGAGCACGTTCACGGTGATGGCGGGTCTGGGCGGCTTCCTGGGTTACGCCATGGGTGGCGTTAACTGGGACGCCACGTACTTGGGTAAACCGCCGCGAGATGGCGTCCGACCGGGCCCGATTTTATTCAATTTCAGGCCGGATGCTCGGCGGCCATGTGAAAGCCGTGTTCACGCTTACGACACTCATATTCGTCGTTTGCGTGGCGTACACGATCACCAGCTTCAAGGAGATGCCATTGCACGTGATAGAATTAAGGGCGGAGCTCGAGCCTGGCGGCTACACGAACTACTGCGAGAGAGGTGACATGGCGACGCGAACCTACGGGGCCGTCGACGACGCGCAGCAAGAACCGCTACCACCTCCGCCATCTAGCGGACGCAGAAAAAGTATCCTCCCGGATCCGGAAGCGTCGTTGGTCCTGTACCTACGCAGCATCGTTTACATGCCGTTTTCGATACGGATGCTGTGTCTTACCAACCTCTTCTGTTGGATGGCCCACGTCTGTTACTCGCTGTACTTTACGGACTTCGTGGGAGAAGCCGTGTTCAATGGGAACCCTACGGTGAGCGACAGAAATTCGAGCATGAACGTTTCATTATTTGTTGTTTGCCGGATATTCCAGGCCACGGAAGGTACAGTCGACAGGGAACTCTACGAGGAGGGGGTGCGATTCGGCTGCTGGGGGATGTCGATGTACTCCCTGTCTTGCGCATGCTATTCGCTAGTCATCGAGAGACTGATCTCCAGATTTAAGTGAGTAGACTGTTTAATTGGTGCGTTATAAGAGTAGATAAAACCAAGTTCTGAAGGTCCAGAAGGCACGTCATTCCGTCTAAAATCTTGCAGTATCAACTAATACAGGTCTAATGTTCTTTTTACCTTCGAAAATAGACGAAATCGAATTTTTCGCAAGTATCTACGCTAGTATAAAAATTTTATATCTCAGTAACGGTAAGTCCTTGGTACAGAAATGATCAGTGTCGAAAAAAAAATTTTTTTGTCTATCTGTTCTCCATTCTCGTCTTTTGTTTTTTTCCGAAATAACTTTGTAACCGTTTGATCTACGAAATTGAGATTTGCCTCCTTTTAATTAAGAATCGTCTTTAGAAGGGCCTACGAAAAAGATCATTTTTCAAAAACCGTTTACGAGACCAAAAAAATTCTTCAACAAAAATACGCAGAAGATTTGGCTCCATAAACTTTTATCCTTGACAATTTTTAAAAAATGTACAGGGTAAATTAAAAAAAAAACCTGAAACACTTTGATTCAGATTCAGATGTTAGTGTCTTTTACGTTACGATATAGCCCGTATGCACTACATATACCACTACATATACAAGGCGTTCCCGATATTCCGTGTTATATAACAAATGTATTAATTTGCAGATATCAACTTCAAATTTAGCAGAGAAGTAAAGGTCCATGCCCAAAATTAAACAGTAGATAGTGGGTACAATCAAATTTTACCAATTATTTAACAAAAAAAAATTTTTTTGGTTATTTTGGCTACCAGAAAAATATATTTTCCTCCAGCACCATTCACCTGATTTTGAGACCATGACACGCGGGAGACCCGAAGCTATAACTTTTGCTTAATGCATTCTGTCGATTAAATACCAGGCGTTTTTTGGTTATGGACAAAAATTTAAAAGACCTTGAAAATTGTTCTTTTCGGTAGCAAATTATTAACCGTTAATCAAAAACCGTAACAAATATAGCTAATCGGTTCGAACAGTGTGATAGGCCGAATAAAGACATCACACAAGCTGAAAAAATCCTTATGAAAATCGCTATTCTTTGCGCTTAGTCTAGACGCAATGACGTCATTGATTATTACACCGTACTGCGTAGTTTCAGAAAACAATATTTTCTTTAAAATTTGCTCTATTGGAAAAATTCTTGGACAAGGAAAGGTGGGAGATCCAGGGCTATAACTTCTATTTCCGATTCTTTTTCGATTACGTACAGAGTGTGTCGATTATAGGCAAAAAGTCCCTGAACATTGCCGTTTTGTGTATGAATTATTAGCTATAAATGAAAAACTATAAAACATGGGATAATCTGTATCGTTAATTTGTGTTGAAACCCTCAGGTTTCTTCAATTATACAGGGCTCGCGAGATATTTGAAAAAATATCATTCGACAACGCAAATATTTGTACAAATTTTAATATTTATCAAAGTTTTTTTTTTCCGTTTTTCATCTTTTTTTTGGACATTGCTATTAAACACGATAAGTGCCCGAAATTTGAAGCTATCGACTTCGAATTTGGCACACGTACGTGACGGAACCTATTGAAATTGGGGGGGCTGGGGGTCGGGAAGTATTTTCAAAAAATTGAAAACTGTGTTTGCAAGGGTCTAAGGAAAAGATCATTTCTCAAAAACCGTTTATGGAACCGAAAAAATTCTCGAACGAGAACACGCAGAAGATTTGGCCCCACAAACTTCTATTCCTGATAATTTTTAAAAAATGTATGGGGTGCACCGCAAATTAAAAAAATAAATAAAAAATGGCTCCTCCTATTATTGAAAATTGACGATAACTAAAGAACTGTGTTTCAGATATCAGTTTATTTTACATGACAATAAAGCTCGTATACATGCTAAAACTGTTGTATTCAAGCTTTTCACCTATTTTAAAGGATGTTCGCAATATTCCGTGCATTATTAAAAAATGTAATAAGTGCCCTAAATTTCTAGTTATCTATTTCAGACTTGGCAGAAAGATAGAAGTCCACACTTACATTTAAAGTGATGAAACTGGGCTCCATCAAAAATCGAGAAGTATTTTTTGAAAATATTTGAAAAAATTTTTTGGGAGATTTTGGCTTCCACAAAAAAAATATCTTATCAAAAACTGTTTACTCTATCGGCAAAATTCTTAAACCAAAAACGCGGATGGATGGACATTTTTTGGATTATATACAAGGTTTTTCAATTATGGACCAAAGACTATGAAAATTGTTCCATTCGTCACGCGATTTTAGATTGTTTTTTGGACATTGCTATGAAACACAAGTGTCCGAAATTTGAAGCAATTATTCATATTTGGCACATATATGCAGCTTTGCCCAGTGACGGAACCTATTGAAAATAGGGGGGCTGGGTGGTCGACAAGTATTCTAAAAAAATTAAAAATCGCGTATGCAAAAAACATCATTTTTCAAAAACCGTTTACAAGACCAAAAAAATTCTTGACGCAGAAGATACGGCTCCATAAACTTTTATTCTTGACAATTTTCCAAAAATATACAGGGTGCGCAGCAACTTCAACAAAATGAAAAATGGGTTCTCCTAATATTGAAAATTAAAAGACTATCATTCAGATCTCAGTTTCTTTTATATTGCGATATAGCCCGCAGAGACAGCAAAAACTTTTGTATTTAATGTTTTCACCTATTATACAGGGTGTTCCCTCAATCTAGATGCGATGACGTCATTTACTATTACTACGTACTGCATGGTTTCAGAAAACAGGTATTTTCTCGAAAACCACTTACCCTATTAGAAAAAATCATATCCTAAGAAACGTGGGAGATCCAGGGCTATAGCCTCTATTTCGAACATTGTTGGAATTACATACAGGGTACGTCGTTTGTGGGCAAAAAATTCTAATAGATCCTAGAGATTTCCGCTTTTACGGATGAATTATTGAAAAAGAATGAAAAACTTTTAAAGATGTGATAATCTGATATGACCAGTGTCGTACACTGTGTCGAGAGAGAGAGTTTAATGTTTTGTCTATAATACAGAGATATTTGAAAAAATATAATTTTATATTTCAATTACCAGTACAAATTTTAATATTTACCGAAGTTTGCGGTAACTTTGAAGATCGACGAGATGTGAAGGACACTTTATACAGGGTGTATTCACAATAAAATTATATCTATTTTGCCAAAGTTCCATAGCGGTCCGCAGGAGCACGATAGAAAAACAATGTCCTTCTAGGACAAGAATCCGCGAAGCGCCTTCTTTTTAAAATAAAAAGCTGATTCGCGCTACTTGCGTCGAACTTGTCCCGCCCAGCTACGATTTTTCGGAATCAATCTTGTATATTATGCATTCTAAATAATGTTTCAGCCGGGTCTTGACAACGCCCTAACACTACTGGTCTTAGTTCCGATCACTCCCATTTTGTTTTCAGTCACGCCCTTCAGGATAATTAAGAGATGCGGCACACAAAATTCTTATAACCATTAAATTACCAACAATATCAATAGCGTGAGAGTTTTTCCAGAGCGAAAAGAGTGTACGTCGGCGGCCTGCTGGTCTACTCCTCGGGAATGGGGCTCATGGCCCTGACCAAGAACAAAATCGGCGTCATATTGTTCAGCTGGACGGCGGGAGTGATGTACTCGACCCTGTTCACCATGCCGTACCTCATAGTGGCGCACTACCACGCCAAGGGAACGGTAAGCGTCTCTGCTCCACCACCGGTATAATTACCTCGCCTTAATCAGTTCGAGGTGACCAGCGAGGGGGAGGAGAAGGTCTCCGCCCAAATAAGAGGCATCGGAACGGACGTGGCCCTGGTTTCCAGCATGGTTTTCTTAGCCCAATTTGTGCTCTCGATGTGTATGGGCACCATAGTCAGCGCGTCGGGCACCACCACGGCCGTCGTCGCCGTCGCTAGCATTCTGGCACTGTTCGGTGCGGTTTCAGCGAGCCAGGTCGTGTATTTGGATCTATGAACCTCCCCGTGAATATCTTTGCCGTTGTATAATTAAGTATATATAATAATAATTATCATAAATTGCCTTGATTGTTGTATATTGCTATGTACAAATATGCAGTAGAGAAGAGGCCGAGTCTAGGAAAAGCTACTTCACATAATCTCTCAAATATTTAAATTTAAAACTAAATAGGAAGTTATAAGTACATTGCTAAATTAATTATAGTATAATGGATAAATGAAAATAAAAAGAATAACTTTAAAAATCAAATTATTTGAGAAGTTAGCAGTTCCAACCTGAAATATTTTTTTAAGAATTTAATTACTGAATCGGGTATACTATTAAAAATTACGACAGCGTTATAAGAAAATGATCCGCGGAACAAAGATCAACGATATCGTGGCAGTGAGAGTGTGTGGGGGTGCCATAAAGCCACTGATTGAACATTACTGAACGAAACTAAATTTTTAGCCAGATAATTTTCTGGATTGTATGACCTATATATTTTTTAAGCTACCCCGTAAAATTTTAGTACGTACGACGCAATAAGCAACATTTTAAAAAATATCTTTTCGTCATTTCTCGGTTAACCGTGCATTCGACTGTTGCGGGTTGTGTTTGCGTTACGTGAAATTGCGAAGACTTAAAGGTGAGTGTTCTCACGAGTACAGTATGAGAATTTCATGATGGTTTCGTTGTACTGGCCAAAATACCAAAGTACCAAATGATCTATTTATTGATCCCAATACCCAAGGAATTTGGTTAAATATTAGTGTGTTCTCCCTTTGAACTATTTTAAACGTTGTTGCTTGTTGAAAGTCGGAGCTACCGTCGAGTGTCTCTGCCCTTCAGAATATTGTTGTTTCTTGCACTGTCGCGTGTCTCTGCCCTTCAGTGCCGGTGTGATTATTTGCGGAAGGATACTTCGCGTGTCTCTGCCCTTAGTATCCATTGCACGATCGGAATGATCAGGACTAGAGAATGAAAGAGGTACTATGTGTGTCCTGCTCTTAGTACCAATCTAAACTCAGTTCCAGATTTTATGCAAGATATATCTGTTATCTGTGATGTCTGGTGATATTAAGTAATATTAAGTTTGCTTCATGAATCTTAATAATCCTTGTAACTCAGAATATTTTTTTAGTTTCAGATGCGAACCATGTCACCTCGTTGATGGCCTGTTGACCGTTCGTTTAGACCCCAAAAAAAACTTATGTTAATATATGTATTATACATTTTCAACTTAAAATTTTATTATTCTGGTAACCTCATCCTACAGGATTTTGTGGGAAATCCTATCAAATTTACGCAAGCCGAAAATAAATCTGCAACAACTGTTTTGAATTTTTTGCAATCTATATTTAATAATACTATCAAACCATAGTTTATAATCGAAAGGACGAGTGATTGAGCTAAAAGTTTCCGTAAACTTAAATTAAGGATAGTTCTATGCCTGTATAAATGACGCAAAACCAAGTAAGACTTTTTCACCACCAAAGATACATATTCCACGAATCTAAGTCTACAATCAAATATAACAATTCACAATTTTCAAACGTTCACCATTACTTAATAAATACATTTGGGATACTTGTTCAATGTTAGGTTTAGGAGAAACGAACATTACACTGCTTTTTTTAGAATTAAGTTGAATATTATGCCTAGAAGAATATAGAAATAAGTTATGCAAATCTAAATTGATATAAATTGAAACAATATTAAATAATTTAGAATCTAAGGAGTAAAATAGCTGAGGGTCATCAGCAAATGAATGCAAATTCAAATATTCGATGAATGTATAAATATCAGAAATATAAATTAGGTCCGAGGACAGAATCTTGCGGTACACGTGATGAAAAAGGAAGAAGGTAACTCTCTATATCTGTTAGTTAAGTAGTTTTTTGAAAAATCATCGAAGCCGTAGTAACTCAATTTGGCGCACATAAGTTTATGGTCAAGCCGATCGAAGGCTTTAGAGTAATCTAAAGATATATGGCGCGTGTGTTTTTTCTAACCATTTCGCGTGAATTCATTCGGCTCTGATACTTATAAATGGGAGCGTTAACGCGCCATTATTAAACTTTATTGCTATTTAATAGATTTTATTACTCCCAACGCAAACTGGTTATATCCGATCGCGTTCAATTGATATATCAGCCCGGCGAAAGCTTTACACGAATTTAGTCGCCATTTCCATTCGAAAATTAGGTGTTAGTAAGTATGGACAAGTAAACTATGGTGCGTGTAACACCCACGCGTCACCGCAGTCACGGACCATAAAAGCGAGCGAAAACAAAAATCTCAAATGCTTACATGCGACATTTCACTGACCATCGTGTTTGTCGTACGCCGAACAGATCCTGATGACGATGTCAGATCCGGCCCATGCGACGGCGTGCTTCACGTTTCTCGTATTTTCGTCGGACTTGAGCATCACTAAATCACTCGCAGACGATTAAGTTGAAGCAATAATGCGCAGACTGCGATATCTCGGACCGCGGGTACGATTGGTATCGACTCGCCTTAATTAATTAATGATAGAGAAGCGTATGTGTGAAAAATTTCGTGCGGGAATCAATTGCCCGGCATGGGAAATACTGAATCGGGAAGTTAAAAATACAATTTGGCAGATTCGCCGTCGACCAGTCTACGTACTTTTTAAGATATTCGACTTGACACCGTTCCAAATTTGCCAATATACTGGAAAAAGCCACAAGGGTTTAAAAATTTCTCCTTTAAATTGTTCCGCTTTCTTTTTCATTTATGCTTTTTGAAAAGAAAATAATCAGTTCCACATGTTCTATGACGTCAACTCTACGCCGTTTGAACCATTAAAATCGCACAAATTTTTATACCGGTTCACAACATAGTATTTGCTCCTGATCTCTAATATGTTACTAAATACTTATTCATTTGCGGTGCTTTAAATTAATTCATATAACCACAGAGCATAAAATAATTAGGCGAAAAACACAGACAATAGAACCTGGACATTATAAAGCCGGTAGAGGGAGAAAAGTTTATCTATGCATCATAACCTCAATGCATTTCTAGTTTGTACCCCAATAACTTTTACATTAATTTGGAAAATGGGTAAACGGCAGCAGACCGACATCAAAACCTTATTCGAGCCAAATAAGCTGGTAAAAGTGTGCGCCCCCATGGTACGCTACAGCAAACTTCAGTTTAGGAACCTCGTAAAAAAGTACGATTGCGATCTCGTTTTTACGCCGATGATACTAGCCGATTCATTTTGCAAAAGTGCCAAAGCGCGGAGCAACGAATTTACGACGAACCTGCTCGACACGCCTTTAGTGGCGCAGTTTGCGGCCAACACCATACATGATTTTGTTGGAGCGAGTTACCTAATTTCACCCTATTGCGATGGGGTGGATCTAAACTGCGGGTGCCCTCAGGGATGGGCGCGAGAGCAGGAGCTCGGTTGCCAAATGCTGAGGAATCCTCAGAGTATTTACGCACTCATCAGGGAATGTAGAAACCAAATTTGCAAACCTTTTAGTGTGAGCGTAAAAATGAGGTTGCTTAAAGATCTCAAAAAGTCTGTAGAAATTTGTCGGCAGTTGGAGAGATGCGGGGCGAGTTTCTTATCGGTTCACGCGCGGACTCCCGAGTGTAGTGTGGGTCCGATAGATAAACATGGGCTCCGGGCGGTTGTGGAAAGTGTTGAAATACCTGTTATTGGTAATGGAGGTGTTGGGAGTTTGGAAAATTGTATTGAGTTGCAAGAATGCGCGAAAGTTGCCGGAGTAATGGTGGCTAACGGAATTTTAGCAAATCCCACGCTGTTCTCAGGGACCAACGTAACTCCTATGCGGTGTGTGCAAGATTGGTTGGATATTTGTTATAATAGTACTTTGGGTGTGCAAGAGTATGAAAAACTGTGTGGCAGTGAACAATTAAGTGGCGGTATAATTTCCGAGCGACCTTTTAACCTAACTTTTCAGTGTTTTCATCACCATCTAGTGTTTATGTTGGAAAAAGTGTTGAACCGGAAGCAAAAACGAATTTTTAACAATTTGAAATCATTTGCGGACGTGCAAAGTTTCCTAGAAAGTTCGTTCAGTATCAAATCGAGACTTTTTAATAGGGAGGATTTTTTAAAATCTGTTTTGTTAGATTCCGACTACGCAAGTAGGGACGTTGTTTACAGGGATTTATTGCCCCCTGTTAACGACGCCCATATTAATGGATTTTACCACAATATCAATTACAATGGAAAGTATTTTACAGACAAAATTTCAAATGAATGCGACTGGTCCGCTATTTTTATAGAAAATGGCTAATACATATAGGCAAATAACATGTAAATTTGGCGTAATATATTGATTCCAAAGGCGACATCTATTATTGCTTGTGTAAAATAAATATACTTTTTTTCAGCCGACATCTAGTATCGGTGACACACACAAACAATAACATTTTGGTTTAAATCCTTTAAAAATTTCTTGCATTAGTGCCGAGCTATAGATGGCGACACCAGACCTGTCGCTACGCGACAAATAAAAGCACAAAGTGCGACACACATAAAGATAGCTTATATATAGCAGCGTACGTCGCAGTCTCTATTTACAAAACGGTTAGTAAAAACAAACTAGTTTCGCGGTACGTGCGTAGTTTTATTTGCACCCGACTGCTTCCAGCACCCGCACATATTATGCGTCTGTTCCGGGGCTTCTTGAACAATGCCAAGCATAACCTAAAAAACAACCCGGTGCAAGAAACGTCCAAGCAGCTGGCAATTGAAATAAACAGTAACGTGTTTGCGACGATTTCATTCGAAAAGGTCGACGAAAACACGTACGACCTTGTTCACACAACTATTCCAGAGGAACTACGGGGACGGGGGCTGGGACACATTTTTGCAGAGGTTCGGCTAAAACACTAAAATAAAACGGACGTAGTATAATATAACTTAGCGGCTACATTTTAAAAAACGCGTCTAAATTTATGTCTGAATTATTGATTAGTAAATGTTCAAATCAATTGTCGTTTGCACAGATCACTTGTTCTTCTTTTCACGTATCCCGTTGGGTGCACAGATCACAAAAAGTTTAGTGTCCGTTCATTTGTTCAATTTTATTGACGGACCACAGAACAGATTACGCGTTAAGTTCCAAGCGTTTCCGCGCGTTTGCCCCAAATAAAACCAAACATTTGCTTACTTGCAGAGAATATTCGACCATCTCGCGGGCAACGGCCGCAAAATTAAGCTCACCTGCGAGTTTCTGCAGGAGTATTTCGTTAAAAACCGGGTCAAATACTCGGGTCTCATAATCGAAGATTTCGAGACTCGCGCGGCCCCATAATGAGCGACGAAAAATCGATAATACTCTACCACTTCCGACACAAATTTTACAATCTCATGCTGAACGTGTGCAAAGAAGCCATGGCGCGTCACTCGACCGACGTATCGTTTCGCTTGTACCACGCTCTCGGCCTCTTCCTCACGAACCGCCTCGAAGAGGGCGTGCACGACTTGGAAGCGGTCCGCGAAGAGAACGGCGTGAAGCTGGCGTCCACGATCGCCCTCGTCTACGGGCACCAGACCCTGGGCGTGCCCAACCAGGAGCTCTACTCCAAACTGGACACGCAGATGAAGGAGCTTCGCAAAACTGCCGACGCGGACGACTATTTCCATTCTGCGTTCGTTCTCCTCGTCCTCGGCAAACCGGATAAGGCGCTCGACTATGTGGAGAGGGCGCTGGCGTCGAAGGGCGGGGCCGAATACCTCGCGCTCAAGGGCTGGTTGCTGCTAACTCTGAAGACGGCCGGCGACAACGCGAAAACCGTCTTCCACAACGCGCTTCAGCTGGACGGCAACCACGTGACATCCGTCGTCGGTTACAGTGAGTGTCTTCTTCGCGCGGGCGACACCCAGGGGGCGCTCGACGTCGTCAATCGCGCATTGGTACGCCGGGACACCCATCTACTTCTTCTTCAAAAAATCAAAATTCACTTCGCGCGGCGCGATTGGGATCAATGCTTGCACATATGCGCAAAAGTGAACGTCGCCGACGGCGACGTCGTCTACGCGAGTTTGCACGAGGCTTTGATCGCTCTGTGCGGGGCGTCGCCTTTGCGCAAAGACCTGGTGCGGAAGCATTTTGAACTGCTTGAGAGGTGGGAGCCGAGCAACCATCGTTTGGTACTGGAGACAGCCGCCGTTGTGGCAAAACTATGCTGCGGAGACGAGGCCGTGCTCCACGAGACAACCAAAGCTCTCGAGGACGTCGTTCGGCGGCACTCCGACGACGCCGACGTCGTCGTGGAACTGGGTCGTCAGAAGATGGCGCTCGATCGGCCGAAGGAGGCGTCCAGACTGTTCAAATCGGCGACAAGGATAGACGAGAGCTGCTTCGAAGCGCTGCTGGGGTTGGCCTTTTGCGAGTGGCGCGAAAACGGCCTCAGTGAACAGCTCCGACAGCAAGTGCATTACCTGCAAGGGTTTAAAGAGGCAGAGGAGTCGCCGCGGCTTCTGCTTCTCCGCGCCAGAACGAACCCGGAGAATGCCGTCGTACACCTGGAGCGCGCGTCCGCTCTCAAAGTCCAAACCCTGGAAGCGTTTTACTACTCGGACACCTATCTTCTAAACCTCGATCCGGATTTGGTGCTCGACGTAGCCAAGGAGTACCTGAAGCTCGTTCCGGGCGAAAAACAGGACAAAGCCTGCGCTGTGCTGGAGGCGCTGGACGTCGTCGTCAAAGCGTGTCCCGGCTTGGTGGAGGCTCGCAGCACTTTGGCCAGGGTTCATCATTTTCGAGGAGACGACGGCGCGGCGCTAAGCGTCCTCGAGGGAAAATTCGACGTTTTGCCCGGTGACGGAATACTCCTGATGGCCCAGATACAAGCGAAACGTGGCGAATTCGATCGCGCCTCCCAAACGCTCGAGGCGTGCGTGAGCCGCGATTTTGGAGTACGCGAGAGCCCCGTGTATCACTATGTCACGGCGTTGATTGATAAATATGCGGGAAACTACGCGGACTGCATCAAAGCTCTGACGACGGCGTTGAACTTGGTCGAGGGAGACGTCGCCCTGGTGGAGAAGGCGTCCATCTACGTCGAGCTGATAGATACGCTCAACGTCATCGGGCAGCAGGAGCAAGCGAACCAGGTCTTGGAAAAAGCGACGGAAGATTTGAAAGGAACCGCCGAGGAGGCGTCGATCCTCCTTCTAAGCGCCGACAACCTGGTGGCGCGAAAGGATATCCAGGGCGCGTTGGACTTGCTCAATGACATGGGCCGCAGAGAGGCGAAGATCAAAATGGCGGACATACTATTGAAGTATAGAAGAGACAAATACGCTTTCGTGCAGGTGTATCGTGACCTGGTGGACGAGGACCCCAGCGCGGAGTCGTACTTGATGTTGGGCGACGCCTACATGACAATCCTTGAACCGGACGATGCGTTGTTAAACTACGAGATGGCGCTAAAAGAGAACCCGAATGACGCCACCTTGGCCGGTAAGATGGGCGGGGCGCTGGTCGACGCGCACTATTTCGCGAGGGCCGTGGAGTACTACAAGAAGGCCATCAAGGGTACCGGCGATAGGGAACTGAAGTTGCAGCTGGCCGAGTTGTATTACAACCTAAAGGAGTACGAGAAAGGCGAGCTGCTGCTGCTCGACGAGTTGGAGGCGGAAAAGATGGACGCCGACCTCGAGGAGTTGGGATACCTGCGGTACAAGTCGAAAGTGTTGTACGCGCTAGCGCGGATGCAGGAGAAGTCGGGCAATTTGTTTTACGCGGAGAAGACCCTGAAGGAGGCCATGGAGAACCAGACGCGCGTCAAGAAACGATTGGCCATCGAACGGAACGGTGAGTAAGGGTCTGAAGGGGGAGGAACTGTAACAATTGCGAATCAAATCATTTATTTATTAAAACACGTATATTACAAAAATATAGAATGTCAGAAAATCAACGAATTTATTATATTCAACTATTCAACGTTTTAACATATTGGAAAAATATTTAAGTGGTATGGAAGTAATCTTAATAAGAGTAAATTTTGCATTATTTTCCAGAAAATGTGACATAAATAGACGGTTTATGCGTCTCATCTGTTGATGATGGTTGGATAAAAACAAAACTTTAACAAATCTGTTTGTGTTTCCTTTTTAAATTGCCTGGTCCGCCTGTTTGTAGCCGTCCCCGATGCCGAAATTGCCCTCCTGGTGGATATCGCTCTGAAGCTAGCGGACACCGCTATATCCCTAAAGAACCACGAACAGGCGGTCAACTACTACAAAGAAAGCCTGACCGTCTCCCCCAACAACATCTCGATTCTCGTCGCCCTCGCCAGGCAATACATGCAGGTACGAACGCCGCCTTTGCACCCACTCCCGCTTACCACGCCCCGTTTCAGATGAACTACTTGGAACTGTGCCAGCAGACGTGCGCGAGCGTCCTCAGGATCGACGCGGACAACGAGGCCGCTTCCGTCATGATGGCGGATATCGCGTTCCGCAAGGTAAAAACTTCTCGTTGGGCAGGAGACATCGCGCGGGTTTAGGTTCACTCCAAATTCTTTAAGGTCGACTTCGACATGGCGCTGTTTCACTTCACGCAGCTGATCGGCAAACAGCCGACGAATTGGGAGGCTTTGGTCCGTCTCTTGGAAATCTCCCGGCGACTGGGCACCATCGCTGACGGCGAAGAACACCTAGACGCCGCCGAGAAACGCTGCGCTGTTCCGTCGAAGGAGCCGGGATTGATTTACTGCAGGGCATACTTCGAGTGGCACTCTGGTAACCTGAACGCCGCCCTCAAAGACTTTAACCAGGTCAGACAGGACGGGGACTTTGGGAGACGCGCCCTCGTCAACATGATCGAGATATGTCTGAATCCGGACGACGAAACCCTGGCCGAGCAGTTCATGGACAGCGACGACATCGAGTACAGAGACTCGAGGACGTTGGCGCTAAAAACTGGTAGTTGTAGACGACGCCCAGGTTTGCGATCAACCTTACACGCGACTCGTTCCAGCGGACAGACTCATAAAAGAACTGAAGCAAAGATCGGAATCGAATGCGGAGCATCTACTGCAGTGCCGCGTGTTGGCAAACTTCCGCCTCCTGGCGACAAAGGAAAAGTTCAACATCGAACGCGCCCTAGAGGATTTCGTGGCCATTGCGTCACACGCCAAGGAGAACGTCGGCGCCATATTGGGAATGTCCACCGCCTACACGTTGCTGAAACAAGGGCAGAGGGCGCGGAACCAGCTGAAGCGGGTGGTGAAGACGACGTGGACCTTCGAAGACGCGGAGTACCTGGAACGGTGCTGGCTTCTCCTCGCCGACCACTACATCCAGTCGGGCAAGTTGGAGGCTGCGCATGATCTGGTGACCAAGGTCGTCGACCACAACAAGGCGTGCACCAAGGCTTACGAGTACCTAGGGTTCATCGCGGAGAAGGAGCACGGCTTCAAGGAGGCGGCGACCAATTACCAGAGGGCGTGGAAGACGGGAGGCGGTTCGAACCCGGGGGTCGGCTACAAGTTGGCCTATTGCCTGATGAAGGGCAAAAGGTATCCGGACGCGATCGACGCCGTTTACGAGGTGCTCAAGGTCAGCCCCGATTATCCCAACATCAAAAAGGACATCCTCGACAAGTGCATGAACAATTTGCGGGTTTAATTTGTGCCGGGTGGTGACAATAAATATATTTAAAGTTAATTTTGACGTTTGGATCTTAGTACTTGTTTCTTTTCAACCAATTAACGACCGAGTCCAGGTGCTTTTGCTTCCAATTGATCCGCACCTTCATCTGGTCGACCGACGTCTGCAGAACGGTCGATACCGACTTCAAGTCGTTCTGATGCAACTTGTAGAACGTCGTCAACTGCAAAACGCTTTTCCTGACCGGCTTTTACTTATGTTTCGTACTCACGTCCTCGAGGTCGATCTCGGTGGACAACTGCGACACGAAGTCGTGGAAGATGGCGCTAAACACCGGATAAACGTCCTCGTAGGTGTCGTAGATCCTGTCCCAGTTGAGCCGGAGGAATTGAAATCCGGTCCTCACCCCTACCGGGTGGCTGATGGACTTCCACACGTATTGGACGCTCTCGAGCGTCATGTTGCCGACGAGGGAGTACTCCAGGTACCTATTGATTAGCCACGGGTCGTATGTGCATCCTAGACTTAAGTACGCAGTCTGGAGGTCGTTGGGGGACATCGACCTCGAAAGCGTGCGGTTCCACAAGAAGTCCCATTCGGCCGGACCGCCCGACTTGATGGCGGAACACTGCACGGTAAACCTGTAGTCGACGTTGATCCTAAAACAAAACACCTCGGGACATCTGACGGGACATAGCGTATATCCTAGGGTTATACTGTTTCGCTTAAGGGAGATCCTTAAGACGTCTCAAGGATATACGATGTTACTAATTGGAACGTCCACAGTATATCAGATACGTATGTCCGTACGATGTTTGTAAGGATAATGAGGATATCCAGTTATACTAGTTGAGACGTCGTTAGTATATACCTTCTTATATAGATATGCCAGTGGGCCTTACTTAGTTATTAGGTTATTTCCAACAGTCTATGAGAAATACTGGAAAAGTAATGTCCAGTAGCAGTACGACAACAAAATTGTGTATATATATTTTTTTCTATTGTAGATATGATAAAACTGTAGGTACATAATATGGCAAAAATATAGAACAACCTGACCTAAGCTATCTTAAATATAGAGCAAGATACTATATCTTGAACTTAACTCTAAAAGAATAACTAATATTTGACAAGTTTTCTGTCATTCTTTGATGACAGCAGCTCTTTTCAGCCAAGCAGCTATTGAATCGTCACATTCTTTGTGATGTGTTTTCCTTCTTATTCGTATCTGAAAATATTGTAGTTTTGAGAAAGACAGGTTTCATATATATCTGTACATTATGAAACAAAAATAAAAAGGACGAGACTGGTATCTTATATGTTTAAAAAACAGATTTAAAAAATCCCTACATCCCCCTTTTACATAAAGGCTTGATTTGACGCTTGCAAGCAGCCGCTGCCATTTTGAGACAAGACAGCGATCGTAATACATATACATCTGACCGGGTAATAGTAAAGATTTTGTTATCTTCTGAGGAGTGTCCTCAATAAAAACGTCTGCCGTTATTAATATGTTTTTAAGACTATAACGACTAATATATATCAATGGCAGATCTGGTCAAATACTTTCAGAATTTTAATTTTTTGAGCATTTTCAAAACTGTCTGCCATAATGTTAACCGCATGCTAATGGTCTGCCATTATTATTTTTCGCTAATGATAACAATATATTTTAAGATTTCAAAACGGCAGCCGTGGTCAAATATATTTAAAATTCGCCAAAAATCAATAACTGTCTCACCTGCGCAGCACCTGGGTCCACCGCTTTGGGCTTAGTGGGTCCCCACATCGTGTATAATATAGTATAGTATATAGTATATTATAGTATAGTATAGTATAGTATAGTAGTATAGTATAGTATAGTAGTATAGTATATTATAGTAGTATAGTATAGTATAGTATAGTATAGTTGGTACATTGAGGCCCCCTATAGGGGCCTCAATATACAAAAACCCAGGTCTGGTCAAATACAGGCAGGTAGCCGCCCACTGGCTCTTAGACTATTATACCGCGAACAAAAACAAGGCTGAAAAGACGAGACTACACAAACCTAAAACACCACAAATCTAAAAAACTAAGTATTTTCCTTCTCAGTTATTTCTATTCTAATGTTCCCATTATGGCGCAAGGGGATATCCTCAAGAAATCTATATCGCATATCGTACATCTATATGGTATATCGTGTACAATAAACCCTAGCTATCTAATCAGAGGATATCCCTGGGATGTATTTTACAGTATATCCTTAGTATATATGCTACCGTATATCCTAAGAATATGCTCCACATGTCCCGGGAAGTGCGACTTAAATGGGACATTGACTGGGGATGTTGTGTGCTATCTGGGACGTCTGATCGAGTGAGTGCGGAGTCGAAAATTACTCACGGATTGTCTTGGTCGGGATCAGACATGTTCATCCACTCGTAGAAGTGGCCACGGGCCCAACGGGTGCACGTCGAGTGCCTCAGTCTGCAGGCAGACGTCACGATCAATAATCTGAGCAGCTTTTCGTTTTGGGTGTCAAAGGTTCGCTCCCTGGTACCGAGCTCGTCGAACATGGGCCTGATCAACTTCAAGATGAAGTTGTCGTAGAGGCCGAGGTACTCGTAGTTGCTGATAATCACTCTAGAACGAGCAGAATTTTACCTCGACACGTCCGAACGGCCATCCGTTTACCTCAGTTCCTCCATGTTTCTCAATGCGCTGTACCAGGGGATGTAGTTGGCCTCCGCAATAGTCAAGTACTTGACCAATTCGAACGCTACCGTATAGTTGATGACTCCAGCGTTGGCCAGTTGAAAAGCGTCGTCGATGAGGTGACCCCTGTTAGAAACCGGGATCTTGTTGGGGTTCCTGCGCAGCTGGTAGATGAGCAGCTTCCAGTTATGAATATCGTAATTAACCCTAAAGAAGCCCGTCTCGTCGATATTGAAAAGGAGCCACGTGTCGTTGTCGGAGTCGGGAAGGCTGAGCTCCGTCTCCCTGACGTTCTCCAGCCAGATGCTTCTGACCACGTTGTCGTTTCTGGTTGCGTAGGTGATCGGAACGAACCAGAGAGCGTCGGAGGTGGAGTTAATGTCTTCCGTCATCTTGGTCTGGTTAATTTTAACTGTCTTTGTGGCGTAGTCCCTGGTGGCCGTCACGATGGGGTACCCGCTCTGCGACGTCCAAGAGTTCATTAACGCTTTGACGGTGACGTTCTCGGGGATGATGCTCTGGTTGTGCGCTCTGCTGTTGAACAGCACCCACAGGTCGTCCTGGTTGGTAGACTTGTACGAGCTGGAGTAAAATTGAGTTAGAGACGACTATAAGCGTGGGCGAAGTTACTCACAACTTCTTCAAGTAGTTGTGGAGACCCTGCTTAAAAACTTCCTTAGTAAGGGTGTGGTTAAGCATTTTGAGTACGCTGCTGCCTTTTTGGTACACTATTGTGTCGAAGATCTGCTCGATCTGAGCCGTGGTTGTTATATCGGACTCAATGCTGTGAGTAGATTTGAGGCTGTCGAAATACAGCGTCTTGTAGGCATCGCGCAGCTGAAGTGTGCTGTACACGTGCCACCGCGGTCTGAGCTGGAAGTAGCGGTATAGTGCGAATGCGTAGATCAAATACTATACGTACGCTGTTGAGCACTACTTCCGCCATGAAGGTGCCGAAGCCTTCATTTAGCCACAAATCGGACCACCACTCCATGGTCAGCAAATTACCGAACCATTGGTGGGCCAACTCGTGGGCGATCTTGGCGAAAATCAAACTCTTGGTCTTCATGCTACGCGACGAGGGGTCGAACAAGAACGTGGACTTCCTAAACGATATCAGACCCCAGTTCTCCATGGCTTCTTTGCCAAAACTGGGTATGGCGAGCATGTCGAGCTTTGGAAGGGGGTATTTGATACCGAAGTAATTCTCCAGGAAGGGTAAGATCTCCTGAGCAGATTCAAGGGCGTATCGAGCTTTGGGCAGGTCGTCTCTCGGAGCCCACACCTTGAGCACAGGTCCGGCTGTCGTATTGGCCGACAAACTCTCGAAATCGCTCACGGTGAAGGCCACCAGGTAAGTGGACATAGGAGGCGATGCTTCAAAGTGGTCCCATACCCAGCCGGTTTCGTTCCTGCAACGAGCTAGATGAGGAAGAGGTCGTGACGGGAGGTCAAGGTTTACATCGGTTCGGTATCCTTTAGCGGCATGTTGGAGAGGGCAGTCATAGTGGAGCGTCTCGCGACGCTGATCTCGAAGGAGGCCTTGAAGGAGGGCTCGTCGAAACAAGGGAATACGCTGCGAGCGTAGACCGACTCAAAGTGAGTGGTGGCGAGCCATCTGCAACGAGGAGTTGAGACGAGATAGCAGGGCCCGGGAATACCCACCTGACGTTACCGGCGGTGTCGACGTAGCTCGTTCTGTAGAGCCCGACCAAGTTGTTGAGGATCTCGCCGGAGAACTTGGCGTGGACCTTGTAAACTTCTCCTGCGTACAGCTTGTCCCGAAGGACGATGGTGATTTTGAAGTTCTGCGTGTCCCGAAGGATCTCCTCGATACCCAACGGCACTAGGTCTTCTTCGGTAACCACCTCGGTGGAAGATTCCGTGGTGAGGGGCAGTTCCGTAGTTGTGGCGTCGGTCTGGATGACGTCGTCTTCTGCGGATGTGATCGCCTCTCTCCTGGTGACATTGTGGAGGCTCCTCAACTTCACCGCGCTCACCTTCACGTCCGTATCGGTAATTTTGAGGTCGTCAACATGCAGGACGATCTTGTCCGTGGACGTGGTGCAGTTGACGAGGATAGTCACTTGCCCGGTGAACGAGAAGTTGTTTTTCGAGTCTTCGTCTAGCACGGGGTGAATTTTTAAGCGGTAGCGGATGGGGTGGACGTGCTTGGGTAGCCTGAGCTCTTCCTCAGGGACTTTTTCGTTGAGCGTTTCATTGAGAAGTTGTTCGATGTCGTTGGCCGCTTCGCGCTGAAGCTGCACACGCGTAAGAATTGGGTCGATTATTTAGTACGCCCTGTACGCGGTCGAAATTTCGTTAAACGTGCGCGAAATGCGGCGCGAAGGTCCGCGTTGTATTTGTGGGTCAATGCGAATAAATAAATTAATAGGATCTAATTATCAATTTGCATATTTACTCCATCTCGAGCGTCGATGTCGGTTTTGGCGCGTTTTTAAGTGGATGGGCTCGAGATTTATTTTATTTTGTTTTAAGTTCCGAGCTATGAATCAAATTTTATGAGACGACTCGAGAAATTAATTTTTGAAAGTTCGTGGTCGGCTCGTTGCTAGAATTTAAAAATGGAGGGACAAATTTAAATTTTATACGTCAGTTCAGTTTTAATGTTGGAAATTAATGTTTTTTTTTTCAGTTAGGTTTCATAACGGTTTATCCATTTATGCTTTTGTTTTAAACAAAACTTTTTTAGGTATTCTAATGATATTATTCGTACATTCAAAAAACTCACCTAATTCGGGGACAAATTGTAAATATAATATTGATACCATGTAGTCTTGAATTTCTTTGTTCTCTCTCTCTCTCTCTCTCTCTCTCTCTCTCTCTCTCTCTCTCTCTCTCTCTTTCTTAATTGATATTATGTAGCCTTCAATTTATTTGTTCTTCTTTATCATTCTAAATGATCTACTTGTTGCTTATCATAATTTTTGTTTTATTTTGTTCATTGCTATAAATTTTTACTTATTATCCCTAATGATTCTTAATAAGTTTTGCTTCATATTCCCCGTTAATAAATAAAAAAATTTTCTTTATTTGGTTCGTTTCAATTAAATTTTGTAAATTATTAAATTTGTTGATTTTTGTTCTGTAATTATGTAGATATAATGCCAAATTTTATAGTACAACTTTCCACTGGTTTTTATGGTTAGCAAAATTGTAAAAATAAAGGATTACCAAAAATTTAATAAAATATTTTTTAATCACTCTCCTGGCATGTTTTTTTTTTAATAATTTTTTTTTATATAAAACTTAAAAATCGATTTACAAACTTCAATTTTATACGTCACTTCAATTTGTTAATGTTTATTATTAAATTAGTTTAGGTTCGTACAAGTTTATCTATATATTGGTATCTTTTTAATTAAATATAACTTTAAACAACAATTGATTAAAACTTTAAACAAAGCTTTAACAAGTAAGTAAAAAAAAATTGAGACAAACAGTAATTTTTAAATTAATGAGTATTATTCATGTAATCATGTGCTTATGGATACTCCTTTTTTAATTAATACTAGTCCTTTATGTTTTCTCGAATTTCTTTGGTTTTGCAGTATTATTTTAATTATATTTTAAGTATTAATATCTGTTTTTTTTTTGCTAATTACCATGAACAATGAATGACATTATTCTTAACTCTCTTTTGTTTTTGTTTTGAGTAAAAAAATTTAATACATATTTCAAAAAAACAAATAAAAATAAATGAAGAAAATGAAATTTCAGAAATGCTTTATATTTTAAAATGTTTCCAGTAATATTTTCATGTTTGGTTTATACGAACTAAGTTGAACAATTTTGTATGTTTCTTTTCTGACTCCGTTAAGTCTGTAATAAGTCTAAAATAAGGGGGATGTAATTGATTTTTTATTTAAATTATTTTTTGAATATTTTTCAACAAATCAGTAACGTTTTTTATTGTATTTCTTAATAATAATTATTGAAAGCATTTTTCCGATCCACGAAAATAGGAGACGACGTTTCGACCATCAGCTTACCATTCTCAGCTTAGTGTTAGGTCCGTAGTAGTACATCAGCACTATGACGACGGCCAGCGAGAGCAGGGCCAGCACCACGAAGGCTATAGCCTTTTTCGTCGTGACGAAACAACCCCCGTTCCTGCTATACTTGAGGCCGTCGTTTATCGCGTCTTCCGATAAAAAGTCCGCGCGACTTGGGTAGTTCTTGTTGCCGTTCATCGTGGTATTTTTTGTCGCACACTTACTCAAAAATGACACTCACGGTGACCGCGGCGAAGCTCGCATGATCAATTAACGACAGTAAAGAGCGTTGAACTGGTTTTCGGAAATTTCGTCCCGAGAATTATGTGCGAAAAAAATAAAATAAATCTTTTCGGCTTCCTCACTCGCCGCAAGATTCTACCTGGCGATCGGTTCCACGTGACTTTTGCGGTTACGCAATCCTCATTGAAACATTATAGCGGGTTTAATTGAACGATCGCCCTTGGGGTCTCCTCTGAAGAGCTACGTCGACGGATGAATGGGTTCCATACGGTACACGGCGGCAACAAAAAAAAAACATCCCGTAGGTTTTACGTCGGAACGACGTTTAACGAATTCGCGTTGTACAATTTACTGCAATTTATGTTATAATAATAATAATAATAATAAATTGCGTTTATTGTTGTATATGGATATAAACAAATATACAGTAGAGAAGAGGCGAAGTCTAGCAAAAGCTACTTCACTTAATCTCTTAAATGTTTAAATTGAAAACTAAAAAAATTTCATCATTTCACGAATAGTACGTGTTAATCAAGGTGCATAGGTTTTGGTGATCTTAGAAACGACAAAAGGAGCGTGTTTATCAAACAAAGAAGTTATGAAGAAATTGAATTGAACATAGCAATGGCGATTGACGGAAGGCTGCAAATTTGATTTGACAAAAAACTGCGAGATGATTAGAAAAATTATGATGCAAAATTGCAGAAGAAGCAGTCATATTAGGTTGGTTAGTATAGATTACGTCCAACAAGGTTTGAGAATTCTTAGTTAGAGTAAGTTGATCTATATTAAGATCGCCCGTTAAAATAATGTAATCATATTGGGGCACCGCGTATGACAATATATAATCAAAATAACCCAAAAGGTATTTACACTGATTGCATTTGTTCTATAAATAGTACCAATTAGTAACAGTAGCTTATGAATTTTAAGTTGAACCCAAAGATGCTCAATACCTAGCGGAGGATTGAAAACATTTGACTGTTCTAAGAGAGTTACTGAATTATGAATATATATGTTGCAGTCAAAGCATTCATTTAGTAAATGTCTACATTAACTAGCCAATGCATACATTTGCTAAACTCCGTAGTTAAAGTATTCATTTTAACCGAAATGAACACATTTGCTAGTGGACGTGGGAAGTGGGTTAAATTTACCGGGAAACCTAAAACCTAACCTCTATATTCGTGCTGCACCGTTTGCTGTTTGTTGTTTTTCCGTTTGAGATTCTTGGTAAGTGAATTGTTTAAATTGTATGTGTCCAGAGTTATTAATAATTATTAATTATTTTTTTAGTCATAAATATAAAATGGACAAAGAAGCGATGAAAGTTAAATTCTAGGAATATATTAACAATACTCCACAAAAAGCTAACGGCTTTCGTATGACTGCGGAAAGATATACAAAACTAATAAATGATGTTAAATCCGCTAAATCTGCTCAGAAAAAAGAAAATCGTCACTTCTGGTTACTAAAACATTATGATATAGTGTATGTATGTAATGTGGATAAACTAATTGCACCAACAGCAAATGGAAAAGTGCTGTATTATGCTACTGTTGAAGAATTGTTTGAGGTTTTATATGAAACTCATTTATCAATTGGACATGGTGGACGAGACAGAATGTGAAGTGTGCCTTAAAAAAAGGGCGAATGAAAAGAAAGGCTTGGTGGTTAAACCAATGGCGTTTTCTCATTTTAATTCGAGATGTCAAGTAGATAAAATTGACTTCCAATCACAGCCAGATTATACCGGACAGGGATTTTCTAAATGCCAATGTAAAACAAAATGCACAACAAATAGATGTGCATGCCTTAAAGCAAAAAAATTGTGCAATTCCAAATGCCGTGGAAGTTTGAATTGTTCAAACAAATAAAGTGTTTTTCTTATTAATAAATGTGTTTGTGTTTCAAATTATGTTCGTTCTCTGTTAGGTGCTTTTGTATTTTTTTGTTATAACTAGCTCTATTGCAATAATCATCGAGTCAATAATTAATTTAATTATTCGCTAAACTAAATTTTATTTTGAAATTCATCAATTAACGCCTTGACTGCAGTTGGTTAGTAACTGCATGCATTACCTAGTTAATGCATGCAGTTACTAGTTAAAGTGTTCATTCCAATAAAATGGGAAGTGAATGTATGCATTGGCTAGTAAATTGACTGGAATGTACACTTTGACTGCAGCATATATACCAACACCTCCTCCAATACGTCAGGTACGATTATGTCGAACAAACTTGAAATCTGGATGCTTACAGCATTATTGTATAGCCATGTTTCCGTTAGACAGGTTATGTCGAACTTATGCAGGAGTACCAATTGAAGGAATTGAATGTTAAAACTGGACTTAGACTTCAGAAAACGTTTCAACGCCATTTTTATGTACAAATAAACTGATAAATCGAGATGTCTAAAAATAGGGAGACGAGAGTTTGGTTAGAAAGCAATTGTCAAAATAAAGTCCTGGAGGTTTGCTGTTCGACGTCGGCGACTACGCAGCACAAAAATATGTCGACGAAGAGCGTTTCCTACTCGAGATCGGTGAAGCGTGAGTACACGATGGGGGCGTTTAAAACATTCCGCAAAAATTGCGGATAATTGTCGCGTTCAACAACTGAACCTGAATCAAAAGTGATCGTCCGAAATTATATCGCTTCCGTCGGCAAACGTAACAGATGAATCGGTCGCCTCTATTTGTATATTCAATTTTGAGGTCTCCGAATGGCGGGTGGTGGGGTGGGGGGAAACTCGCATCTTTTATTGTATTCAAATTAGTGTTTGCATACAACGTTGTGAAGCGGGTACATTGTTATAATTGTGTATACCTTCAAAAATAGAAAAAAATATTTATTTCAGGTATCAATTTATTTAATATATAATGTATACTTGATGATATGTAAATAAATGTGTTTGTTACTGAAATGTCCATCGAAAACTTCACATAAGTTACACAAGTCTACAGTGATTTTGATGTTTGAAAGCTGTTTGTTTATTTGCATATTTTTGGGAGCCATATTTTTGCTTTTCCTATAGCGCTCTATCTAATGTTATTTTATTGACATACATACCTATGACATGAATATGTTTGTTCCACAATCGATGAATGATGATGAATTAATGGATTTTTATGAAATTGAATGTGATTTGGCAACACCGGATTTCTCTGCCAAGCAACAGAGTTGGCACAGAAGCATGATTACAGCCTTGTAACCTGTTTATGCGCAGATTACTTGTATTGGTGGTCGTGCTGTCTCGCGGCAGTTGTCTTCGTTGTTGCGTATTTCTAGAAGACATTGTGTGAATAATCCACTTTTGTTATATTAGGGCTGTCTTTTATGTTTCGGGACTTTCTTAAACTAGACCTTCCATCTGGCGACTAACGTCTTTATAGGGAAGTTTGACATTTTGAAGTTAGGTTTACTCAGTTAGGTTTTTGCGAAAGAGCGTTGTTTGTGTTTTTTGTGATAAATTAAAAAAATTGTGACGGTTAAAAATGGAACTTAAACGGGAGCATTTTTGTGCAATAATTTTTTACAACTTTAGATGTGGACTAATTCAACAACAATGCATAGGTGGTTGTCCAAGAAAACATTGATGCAGTGCGGAAACTGATTTTGCATGAGATTGAGGTATCTTTGGTTAACAGTGGGACCAGCATACATACAATTTTGCACGAACATTTGGCCCTCGTCTCTGTCGTAGTTATGTCATAGTGAAGCAAAGGCAAACCCTAACTTCCTTTGTGAAAAATGTATACCACACTTATTTTGGTGTAACAATTGGCAACCAAGACAAGTCCTGGGTTCCTGGGGTTATGTTTCACATTGATGATTGTTATTTTTGTTTCTCTAATGTTCAAGGATTCAACAGAACAAAAATAAGAAACAAATTGTGTATCCCAATCTTGACTGCTGTTCGACCAGTTCCTTATAGACCAGATATACCGCCCCAAAAGAACTAGATTTCAGAGAGCCCGAATTGTTTGCGCTTAGATTTCGTCACAAGCATTTACTGGCTCCTGGCGCCACATCAAGCTTTTACCGGGATCGCGAAAAAGAGTTATGTCAATATTTTACTCAGGAGGAATATGATCCTATAGGATTCCACTTTTTTACTGAATAAAAAAACAAATTATTGCGGAAATATCTTTTTTCCTTTAATATTTACAAATAAATGCATGGCCTACCAAAATTATATAAAATCAGTTTTCAAAATAAAAACATCTGTCAAAAAGTTTAATTTTGTAGACCTGTGTTATTAGTCTGTGGTACCGATCTTCTATGTTCTGCCGTTTAGGTTGCAGATTGGATTTTCTTAGTTACTAGATGCTGCCGATGCTCACAATACAGGAACTTTTGAGGTCGCCATAAAAAAAATGTTAAGACTGGGAAGTGAATAAGACCTGTCATTTTAATCGAACCAATAAAACCTTTCGACGTGTATCAATTAACACGATCGCTGATCATTAATTCGACTACACTTTTTGGCAGGATTACGTCAAAATGTTGAAGATCTTTCCCTTCCTTACGAAAACGTCATATGGCATCAGTTTTGCAGTATTAGCTAATTGAGTAATGCCCTTCAGCACTGCCAACTTAAAATTTACACGCAAGTCCTAACAATTAGTAGCCAATCCCTTTTACAAAGAACGACCATTCGGTGGAAACACCCTGTAGAGTGCTCGTGCATTTGTGCATGACACCACCTAATTTGTCGTAAATCGCTGCGTACGGTACGTGAATGTTGAATCAATGTCCAAAGGTAATTAAGGCAAAATATTATAAATTCCACGTGTGGAACTTATTGACGGCTCTGGAAGTGCCAATTTTACGCGTAAAACGTAGAAACCTACATTTGGGACGAATTGCCGTTACAACCGATATCTTAACGTGCATTTAAACGTGCTAAACGTTTAGCTAAACTAAAGAAATCTTAATCGTAAGCGGAAACATTATTATAAGTAGGTGGTCAAACTGCAATGGGTTGCCTATACTTTAAGCGATTCCAAGGCCAAAAAAATGGACCTTGTAAAAAATCCTTTGAAAACACTGCAATATCGAGTGAAACTTTGCAAAATATAAAAATTTTTGTAGTCTATCACAATCTTCAACGTGCTGGCTTTTGCCCCAATTATGGAAACTCGGGTCGGGTAGGTTTTAAAGAACAGGGACGGACTCTCAAAGATTCTGGTAATATTTTTTTTTGTTTATTTCGGTGCCTATAATCTTATCAACTTTTATTTATTTATTATCATTTATTGTAAGTCAATAACAACAAAAACGTTTGATAAATTTTCAAGACACTAAAATAAACCAGACATGGCAGACAAAACGCTTTATTAACAGCAGGTCAGACATCAGAACGAAAAGCAAGACTAACTTTGATGACAGAGGAAATATTATGCTTAATGGACGAAAGGCGTAAGAAAAAGAAAAATTAAATCAGGCAGAGAAGACTGTATAAGGAGGAAGAGTGAGGAAGTGGAAGAATACAAGCGAAATATGACAGCTTCAATCTGCATATGAAGCTGAAAGAGATGACCGGAACGATGAAATGTAGAGAAGTTCCGACGACATTATTTTGGATGTCACGCGACAGCTGACCTTTTCAATGACGATCGGCCTGAACTGATTCTTGGCCATGCTCAGGAGACTTGTCAGGAGATGCTGTGCGGGGAGGTTCTGCATGCCAGACGAAAGGAGGAAGAACAGGTCCTGACAAGATACAGATCGAGCTTCTTGAAATTATAGATGAAGACACAATTATGATTCTCGTAAATCTCTTTAATATCATATACTTAACCGGATTTATTCCAAGACAGTGGCTTTCATCTATATTTATAACATCACCTAAGAAATAAAATGCTACAGAATGTTCCGATCTTCGAAGCCTTTATGAATCACACTTTGAAGGCGTTTTTAAGAATTATTGATAATAGAATATTCCCTAAGTTGGGGGACTAGAGAGGCTCTGTTCAGTATAAACGCCTGTTTTGTTGATTTTGAAAAGGCGTTTGATCAGAATCATAGCGAATCTTTACCAGAACCAAACAGCAAGAGTCAGAATTGAAGATCAGCTTACAGATGAGGTGGAAATTTTGCGAGGCGTGCGTCAGGGTTGTATTCTTTCTCCACTACTCTTTAACTTATATAGTGAGGCAATTTTTAGTGAAGCTATGGATGAACGACAGGAGAGTGTTACAAGTAAACCCTGCGGCCGAGGCTAAACGATACGTTAAAAAAACTAAATACATGATTATTACAAAGAAAGTAAATGTTAACGGAATTCTTACTATAGACAACACGACGATAGAAAGAGTAATACAAATACTTAAGAACATGGCTACATGAAACAATGGAGCAGTCTCATGAAATCAAAAGTCGCATAGAGGTAGTAAAAATCAAAAAGTTTTTTTGCAGCAGAGATATAAATTTCTGGATGTTAAGATCTGGAAGTGCTACAGAGAACCCAGAAACAGGAGGGAATAATTAACTTTCAAAAAAGAAAAAAATTGGAATACTTTGGCCACGTGATTAGAGGACATGAGTATGCGATACTACAGAAACATTATGGAAGGAAAGATCAAGGTCAAAAAAGCATTCAACGGAGAATAAGAACCTCTTGGCTCAAAAACTTAGGGAATGGTTGACATCGAACCAACTATTCAGGGCGGCTGTTAACAAAATTATACATAATTAGATTTTATTTTCTAAACGTCTGAATCTAATTCCGTCTTTGAATAGAAATCTAAGAGTCCTCAATTTTTATAATTTGCTGTACTGATTTTTTCCAACACTCAATTAATTACAGTTTTTATCCAATTTATAAGACTGAGACTTAAAGCAGCAGTAACATTTTCTGCTCTGACCTTTCATTTCCATAAATGCTTTATGGGGTTAAACATGCAATGATGAGAAGAAGAATACTGTTTTTTAAGCGCATAGAAATTTAAGACTTCGAGTTGCTCTTTTTGTAACCGAATTCAAAATAAATATCATTTTCTAACGAGTATTCCCGGATTTTATTTTTCGAACTTGAATAGCGTCTTGACAACTATTTGGCCATTCATCTTGAAGGGATAAATGGAGCTCATCTACGCTCTTTGACTCACTTACCCAGCTCTACATCTTGCTGCATGGGGTATGTATGTATTGACAATTATACTGAAAGACATAATATAATATCTCGTCTATTTATCGATGAGCAACTGACCAGCCATGTTAGTGAGTTATTCCTCCCCACACCATTACTGGTCCTCTTCCAAGACGGAAACTAGGATTAAAAGTGCAGTTAAGAAATACTCTTTGACCGGCCCTTCCCACACCCTATAATAATAGTAATAACAATAATAATAATAACGATAATGATAAATTGCCTTTGTTATATAAAAATATACAGTAGAGAAGAGGCTAAATCTAGCAAAAGCTACTCAACTTAACCTCTTAAATGTTTAAATGGAATACTAAATAGGAAGTTATAAATAATTACATTGATAAATTAAATATAGTATAATAGATAAATGCAATAGTAATATGGAACAATAGCATGTCTGCAACAGCTGTTTTGATTTTTTTTGCAATGTATATTTATACTATTATGACATGGGTAATAGAGGACTAAACTATAGTTTGTAATCGAAAGGACAAGTAATTGAGCTACAAGTTTCTGTAAAATGAAATTAAAGACAGTTCTATGCCTATATAAATGGCGAAAAACCAAATAAGACTTTTTCACCAACAAAGGTTTTTATTACAATTCACAATACTTGGGATACTTGTTCAATGTTAGGTTTATGCCTAGAAGAATATAGAAATAGGTTATGCAAATCCAAATTGATATAAATTGAAGCAATATGAAATAATTTAGGATCGAAGGAGTAAAATAGGAGAATGCAAGCAGAATCTCGATTCTTCAGTAAAAACAACATCCTGTCGTTGCTCTAAGGTCCAGTTGCTGATCTGCAAGATCTTCGTCGATGGTAGGAGCTGAACATGAAGGATCCTTTTAATATATTAAACCATGTAGTAAAAAACGTCTAGAGTGAAAAATTACTTCATTAATATGACATTAGGCCAACAACGAGCAAGCACTTAAAGGCATTAACCAAAAAACAAACTGTAGAACATGAATGGTTCTTGACACATATTTAAATTAGTTATGAAGCAACCACAATGACTAAAACGACTATGAAATTATGAAAATCAGTCTAAAAATAAAAAAAATTCACGGTTGCGTTTTTCTCGACCCAGAATTAAAACACCTTACCTCTGCTCTTCTCTCTAATGATTTCCACATTAATGATATTAGGCCGCACCTTCAACCTTCCAATAGCAATGAGGCCGAGAGTAATCATACACTTGCCACTGTGGTCCTTCTTTATATCAAAAGTTCTAAAGAAGTATAACGTCAAAACCAGATTTACTATTTGTCCAAAAATCCCTCAACATCTGTGGTCCGTCAAAGACAAAATTCCATTTGAGACGCCATTAGTTTACAGCATTCCATGCATATGCGGCAGAGAATACATTGGAGAGAGCGGACAAAAAATGCAAATAAACTCATCAGCTCTTGCTGAACACACTCATGAAACCGGGCAGAAAAATTTTATTCGATAAAACTAAAATTCTTGCATGTAATCAGTTTTTCTACCAACGAAAAATCCGAGAAATCTATAAACAACCTAAGAATCTGAACCGCGATTCAGGTCTCTACTTGTCACCAATTTGGGAATCATTGGTCCGAGACGGTGTTTATAACCCTCATTAGCGCCCCCCTCAAACAATATATAGGCAGGTACAGAGTAAAATACGAGCCAGTTTCAGTCAAGCTCTGAAGAAGCCAACAGGATGATTGGCGAAACATCAGCAATTTCGACTCAGCAAAAACCGACGCAGGAGGAATCCAGACGCTTTGTAAAAAGTATTACAGTAGCCTGTGGAAGTTTCTTTGAAAAATGAATAGTCTAGATTCTAATTATGCTACACACTTAAACACAGAAAAACACATTTTTATGACAATTTTGATATATTACACACAGCCACAAAAAGTAGAAAATTAAATTTATTGGAAGCCATGGAGATTAACAGAATGAGACATTCAAATGTATTGCTTAACCATCAATTAGATTTAAATACCCCTCCTTTATTGAACTTTAATTCTCACAACAACATTAATTAAGGTTTAATGTCCATTTTTCGGTATATATAGTAGCAGGTAGTTTGTAAATATTACATTTGGTAAAGACGCGGTGTTGTCGAAACATTCGGTACATTTTCGCAAAACACGAATACATTCACTGACAGAATTAACAAATGTCACAATTCAAAGCGTGGGAAATATCTCCGAAAACATCGCATCGCTCCCAAATCCGTGCCGTAAACTCCCGGAAATGTCCGAAGTGGCTCGGAATCATGGGAAACGAAACTGACGTGGTAAAGTGACGCTTCCCGCACGCTAGATCGATGGGCAATTAGGTATTTTGCAGACTGGAGTAGAAAAAAATAAATAATTTCGTGAAAATCTGAACTTTTAGTTCTTATTTACTTTGATAAATGGATTTTCATGAAGTAAAAGCCACCTCAGTTCAAAAATTATGAAAATCATCAAAAAAATTTCAACGTTGCGTTTTTTTGCAGTGCAGTAGGTACGTGTCGCTGGAAAACGCAAACAAATCCAAACGATTTTTATATCACGGCGCATATTTAGCAATAAACGCTATCAATCGTGAGAGATTTAACGATGTTTGTCGCCGGCACCGGTAGCGTCTAATTTTGCACTTAAGGAGGACAATTTACCGCGGCTTTAAGTGGATAATACTCCACCGCGGCGGCGGTAAATCAGTCTAGGGCCGTCTCTTACCAGACCAGGCGGACCCCCCGTTAGCCTACGGGAGGAATTCACACCCGCCGACCTTATTTGCGTCCATCCTTCCTTGCCCTCGATTTAAACTAATCGCCAAAGCGGCACCGCATTAGTCCGAACCGACCTGGTGTAGTAAATACGTAATTATGCCACCCTCTCGGTTAACGGACATTCTGCGAACATCCCTTATGCTAGCGGTACTCCTGACTCCTCTCTCGGTAAGTCCCCTCGCCCGTATACTTCTCCAGGTTATTATTTTCTGGGGTCGTTTCAGGTGACGGCCCGCAACCGAAGAAGTATCGACCTCATAGCGGCCCACACACTCATCTCGGACACCAAACTGCCGACCGAGGTCACACCCAACGCGTACGAGTTGAAACTCCACCCCTATCCGGAGCAGGGTAACTTCACGGGCGAGGTCAACATTAACGTGACGGTGCAACAAAAGACGAAGAAGATCGTCCTCCATAAGCACCCGGACCTGGAGGTTGAATCACTGAGCGTGTTCCAGATCTTGGCGGTGGTGGAAGACCCCAAATCGTAACAGATCCGCCACTATCCAGGCACTTTTTCAAATGACTTATATTTCAGGGATAGCCCTGGTAGCCCGAAGGTGGGCTACAACGTGTTCGCGTTCCAATCTAAGTGGGAGCAGGTGAAGAAACAGTCGATGATGAACGTGATGCTCAACGACCACGCCAATTCCGGCGTCGAGCTCAGGATCAACATCAAATTCCGCGGGTACTTGTTCAATGAGACCACCGAGGGTTTGTTCAGGAGTTCGTACGTCGATCCGGAAACCAAGACCACCAAATGGTAGGTGACATCATCAGTATCCATCCGACCGTTCTAAAGATTTGTGTTTCAGGTTCGTGGCGACATTCATGAGACCCAACCTGGCTAGAAACGTGTTCCCTTGCTTCGACGAACCCGGCTACAAGGTACCGATCCAGCTGACCGTGGTAAGGCCGCGACACATGACCGCCGTCGCCAACATGCCTCTGGAATCTTCAACCGATCCCAAGTAAGAGATCTTAGCCCGGTTTCAGCGTTTACTTGCAATTTTCACTGATATCGCAGCCAATATTGGGTGTACGATACGTTCCAATGGACCCCGCCCATTGCCACGTTCTCCTTCGCCCTGGTCGTCTCCGAGTTTAGCTACCTCGTGCCCAACGACACCGACGACGGAGGTGACTGGTATCGCAAGATCGTTCGCTATATAATCTTTCGCTATCTCTTTTGCTAGCAGATATCAAATTAAGGATATGGGCGCGACCGGACTTTATCCAGACGCTGGTGAACGTGTCTGGCAAGGTAACTCGCTCGGTGAGATTCCTGGAGGATTTTTGGGGAGTGCCGTATCCTCTGCCGGAGTTAAACATCTTCGCCTTGCCCAACTACCAAGCGACGCGACCGGCCGACTCCTGGGGAATTTTGCTTTTCAAGTACTAATGCCGCCGGGTCTTGGTTCGAATACTTCTTCTGGGCATTGCAGGGAGAGCGAAATAAGCGGCAAGGGGTCGTGGCACCTCACGCAGGAGCTGGTGTACCAATGGCTCGGATCGTTAGCTACGCCTTTTTGGTGGAGCGACGCTCACATAAATAACGCCTTGGTGCGCTACATTACCGCTTACACCACCCTGAAGGTGGGCGACAACGAAACGTTCAACAACTGGCCAATGACGATGCTCTACTCCATATACTACGAGTTCAGCAAGAGATACCCGCACGGAAAAAGTACGGCCATTAAACAGGACTCCACTTCGGCCAAGACGGAGTTGGTGTTCAGGATGCTCAACTACACGATCGGCGAGAGCACTTTCAGGCACGGCATGCAACGGTTCATGGCGGATCGCCAGTACAAGACCTTTTTCGGCGACGACATCTGGCTTTCGCTCACCGAGCAGGCTAGATTCGATAAAACGCTGCCCGAACCGATCACCATCAACGAGATAGCCGGTTCGTGGATCACTAAAGATCGTCTGCCGGTCGTGACTGTCACCAGAGATTACGACAAAGGCACGGCGACGATGAAACAGCGGGTGTACCTGAGAGAGAGGCCCCACGACGTGCCCGACCAAGAAAAGTTCCTCTGGTGGATCCCAGTGGTGCTCGTCCGCGAGGACAAGATGAACTTCCGGAATTCGACGCCTCTGGTGTGGATGATGAAGGAGAGGGAAATTAAACTGGAAGACTTACCCTCCGCCGATAAGTTCGTCATCGTTAACCCTGAGGAGATATGTGAGTGATAGTCACGCCATTTAAGAACCTTCTGAGCACTTGCACCTCTAGCCCCTTTTCCCGTCAACTACGACACCCGCAACTGGAACATGTTGGCTAGTTTCCTGTGCACGGATCAGCGCACCAAGATCCCGGTGAACACGCGAGCCAAGCTGCTCCATGACGCGTGGAACTTGGCCTACGCCGGCGACCTCAGCTTCGCCACGGCCCTCAACATGACACTTTTTTTGAGGGACGAGAGGGAGTACCTCGCGTGGGACCCGGTCTTTACGCTGATCGATCACATCGGTAAACACATCGATAGTTCGGCGGTCCACAAGAAGTTCCAGGCGAGTATAAAGACGATAGCTTCGGATATGAGGAACTCACATATAGTTTAATTTATGCCCAAAATTACTAAGCCAAAAATTTCGCAAAATTGATAAGCGAGCGATAAAAATGTCTTTCCCAAACAGACATACGTGAGGCTGCTGCTCACTCCGCTTTACGAGGAACTCGGCAGCGAGCCCCAAGATGGCGAGTGCGAAGGTCGCGCCCACTTGAGGAGCTCGTCGAAGATATTCCTGTGTCAGACTGGCTACAAACCGTGTATAGAAGAGGCTCAGCGGGCGTTCAAGAAATGGATGGAGAGCGGGGACCCCGACGAAGGAAATCCGTGAGTTTTCCAAAGGAACTTCCACGGGCTACTGTAATAGTATTAACAAATCTGCTGGATTCCTCTTGCGTCATTTGTTGCTGAATAGAACTTGCTCAAGTTTCGCCAATCCTCTTGTTGGTTTCTTCTGAGCTGGCACTGTTCGCGTCTCAAGTTCTGTTCCCGCGCTGCAGGGACGTCAACAGCGACATATATGTCGGCTTCATCGACTATCAGAAAGCTTTTGACAGAATAAAACATGACAAACTGATGATGATCTTCGTGTTGGTCGGGATAGATGAAAAAGACCTCAGAATAATCAAACAGCAGCCGTCAGAATTGAAGACCAGTCGATGGAGGAAATAAAGATAGGGAGAGAGAGAGAGGGATTCGACAGGGATGTGTACTATCCCCTTTACTTTTTAATGTCTGTTCAGAATACGTTATAAATCCGTCTTTGGATGACGAAGATATGGGAATACTCAGTGAATAACATTAGGTACGCAGATGATACTATCGTTTTCGCGGATAGCTTAGATGGTCTGCAGGCGATAATTACAGGTATCGCAGACTCCAGCAAAGAGTATGGCCTTGACGTTAACATAAAAAAAAAACGAAATATATAGTTATCAGCAAAAATAATATACCACCCATACAACTACTGGGTAATCAACAATCAATAATTCGCGTCTCAAGCTACGTTTACCTTGGAACGAATGTTAATGACAGATGGGAACATTCAGTTGAAATAAGACAGAGGATGGAAAAGGCCAGATCAGCATTTACCCAAATGAACAACATTTTTGAAAGTCACTCTCTACTATGAAGAAACTAGAGGCTTTTGAGATTTGGTGATATAGACATATCCTGAAAATGATAGAACCACCAACGATGAGGTTCTTCGCAGAACGGGCAAGGAATGCGAAAGCGCACATTAGGCGCAACGAACAGCGATATGGTACTGTGCAGAGTAAGTTCTTTGGAAAAAGAGGCCCAGGACGGAGGACGGACAATCTCATGGCTCCACAATCTGAGAAAATGGTTCTCTCTTACAACCTCAGGACTTTTCAAAGTAGCAGTCGAGAAGATTAGAATAGCCATGCTAATAGCCAGCATTCGAAACGAATAGGCACCTTAAAAAGAAGATTTGGCCTCATGGTCAAGAATTCATAGTAGATTGTCATTTAAACACCGTAACATACGTTATATCATTGAATCAGAAACTATTAATAAACCTCTATTCTCCGATATTCTTATCAATAGAAAATCACACCTAACATTGGGTCATTGTGTTTACAGAAAACCTATGTACACAAAACGATACCTTAATGCATTGTGACTTCACGATCCGGCCCAAAAACTGAACTCTCTTATAAAATTATCTCAGCCCTAGTCACTGAACTTAAAATTAAAATAGCTTAACTCTGCTCTTTTCTCTAATAATTTTCACATTAAAGATATTAAGCGTTCCATCAGAAAATACGCTTCACCAACACCTTCCAATAGCAATGAGGCCGAAAGCAATCCTACACTTGCCACTGTTGTCATTTAAAACATCACTGACTACATACCAAAAGTTTTTAAGAAATATAACGTCAAAACCAGATTTACCACATGTCCAACAATCTCTCAACATCTTCGACACGTCAATGACAAAATTCCATTTGAGATACCAAGAGTTTACAGCATTCCTTGCATATGCGGCAAAGAATACATTGGAAAGAGTCTTAAGGCCAAGACAAATTAACTCATCGGCAGTTGCAGTTGCGAGTCTATAGAAATCTATAAGGAAACTAACAATCTTAACCGAGACTTAGGTCTTTACCTGTCACCAATATGAGAATCGGTCATCAGAAATGATGTTAAGCCCCTTATTTAGCAGTTCCAGACATGCTCTGATGAAACCAAAAGGATGGTTGGCGAAACATTAGCTAGTTCGACTCAACAACAACCAGCGCAATAGGAATCCAGAAGTTCTGTAGAGTGAGTCTATCGGACAGCGACATCTACCGGCCACTTTTTCAGGGTAGCGAACCAGTACATATGTCCGGTGTTCAAATGGGGCTCGAAGGAGGAGTGGGAGTTCGGGCTGCAGCGGATCATCAATTTTCCGGCAGGCAGGAAACCCAGCGAGCGCACTTACCTCTTGAAAACTCTTGCGGGGTGCCCGAACGACTCGTGGAAGATCGAGAGGCTGCTCAACATCACTGTACTCGAGCAGAACGGCAACTTCACCGATAACGACGTTTACCTTATCTTCAGTATGCTGACGGGCGGCGCTAACGGTTATACCACCCTGTTTAACTTCCTGAGGAGCAACTGGGACGTCGTGAAGTCAAGGTAAGATAATGGCGGATGCGCCGGGCGCGATAGCGTGACATCCAAGTTGGATTAAAGCAGAGACGGTTGAGCGGTTGTGTATTTTCGTGAATTAATGGTTGCGTGACGGTCTTATCGCGTCGATTTGGATTAGGAAAACTTTCCTCTGCTATAAATGCGGCGCCGCAGCTAGAAAAATCGGAACGTCTGATGACGGCAATAGACTATAAAACTATTAAACCTGACGAAATGTCAACAATGGTTTGCCCCGCGACGAGTGTTTACCAAACGCGGACTGATATCGCTAAAATTTGACCCGGTTTCACTTGCGACGCAGATTGACGAAAAAAAATGTTTGGGCCGATCAAGGTCGTCGACCGATACGCGCCCCCACCACCCCGCACCAACGAAACATGTGCGGAAATGCGAGACGCATTTTAACATTGACAACTTTTGTCTGCAAACCGTGCCATCGAGTTCCGCTAGAAGCCAAAAAGGGACGTATCATATCCCTTTTATTTTCTTGCCAGTGACGCGCGCTTGGGTTTTACTCGCAGAATATTGCACGTTTTTATCAAAAATTGCAAACATTAAAAGTTGATGGTTTAAAGAATCCTCAAACAATCAAACAATTTGTAATATATTAATTGCAGAAAAAATTAACGAAATTCTCTGTTTAATTTAATTTATAAATATTAATTATTAAATATTATTTATAAAGCATTCTTAAAAAAGAAACACAAAATTTCGTACTTAATTCCGGCCACTTTGGTCGATAGCTGGGAACATTTGGAATACCAACCAACCAATATTCTGCGATTCTTAATTGTTGGAGATTAATTAACAGAGTTCATGATCAATTATCGATAGTACACTATTCAATCATTACTTTGTAAGTATTGCAATTCAAAATGTAAACGTAAGTATTATTTACCTATAGAGGGTTTCTCTTTACCGTAGAATTGGCTGGCATGTCTCGAAATGTGGGACACTAATATTCAGTAGCTCAGCTGAGTGCAAATAATATTTTCTCGCTCCTACGTATAAGAATATCTCTCTAAGTTTCCAATCACGTTATTTGATTTTTTTTGGATGTTTGGAGTGTGCGCAATTGGTCTTTACCATTTGCACTCGAGTCTGAACCTTGTTTCAAACCACCATTCCACTGACGAGGGCTGAGACGAGGGCCAGTGCTGACACTCGAGCTCATTTTGGTTTTTGTATATTAAATGGCATTAGACAAATAATTTAATTTTTTTTAGTTTTTACCTTAATGATGGTGTCACGCGCCACTAAATATAAATATATAAAATTATGGTTCGATTTTTTTAAAATTTTGACAAACCAGCTTTTAAAGAGTTTGTCAACTGTCGGAGCAGTTTGAGGATAATGTTCCAGTAAATTGGTGGCACATTGGCAAACGTTAAAACGATAAAGCACAGTTTTCAAAGATATCAAAAATGGCTTCTAAGGTGAAAGTACCCGAAACTGACGACACAGATTTGGAAATCCTTTTAAAAGGCATAATAATCGAGTTCAACAAATTTTTCAAAGAAATTGCGAAGAATAGGATTTGTGCTCATATGTTGTTAACGGTCAGCATAAGGAGAATGAACAACTAACCAAGATAACCTAAAAAGCTTTTTTCTTTTTTTATTATTCCGCATGAAGTTAGCTGCATATCGATTAGTATGTAACCCATTATACATTTAAGCCTACTCCAGGTTCAATAACATAGTCATGCATGGAATAAACTTCTAAATAAGTGGTCATCCACAGGCATCCACACAAACAAGCACTATTTCACAAAACTGTAGGCGCTACAACTAAAACAATTCAATTAAAAGATGTACTAAACAATTTTTTTTCACCAAAATAATGACGTTCTTCTTCTTCTTTTACACTTTGTTTGGCCACTGCAACCAAAGGCAAATCGGCCAGCTTACAACGATGTTTAAAGTTTAATGCATAATAGTGTTGGTCACCCATTTACTGGCACTCATGTTTAACCGATACTACAAAAAAGGATGTTACCGACGTGTTGGGTGAAACAACGAAACCGTAGGACCCTTATATCATCAAAAAACTATCAATTGACTAAGATGAAACACAATAAAAATTCGACCTTGTTTTCGGCCTTAAATGCCGAAAAACTAGGGTTCTGTAGGCAGGGGACAAGAATCGACCTGTCTTGTGCAATGCCACCCACAGAATCCTTCGTGGTAAAGAAAACCAAAGTCGTATTAATCGAGTAACCCGCGTAGCTTGACTCGAATGTGAATGTCGGTATTAATAGACGTTGCGAAATTTTCTGGCGCGCGTCGAATTTAAAACTAATTATTTTCTGGCCGATTGGCCAATCGCGATACAGTTCGAGAACACGAGAGCAATTACGCGTTTCTGTGTCGATCAGTTTCGAAAATCGCCGAGGCTGGTAATCATCGTAAATTAGATTTTGTTACTTCCCAAAAGTGCTTTCGGGTACGAAATTAGGAAAATCGGTTTTTCCGTTGTCGAAAAAAGTAAAAAAAATGCTTTGACAAACTCTCTGACCCCTAATATGCTGAAAAAAATGTCATTTACAAGATGGCGGCTGATATTTGGCTAATTTGATAAAAAAACGCCTTCTGAAAAACCATAGTGAAATTTTTCAAGCTGGCCGGTTTATATTGTAATAAGTAATAAAAATAATGACCTCTGGGGAAGGGAGAGGAGGATTAATTATAAGGGTTATGTTGAGAAACAAAATTTAGAAAAAAGTTACTAATTGTGCCGTAATTGTTGTTGTTTAAACCTTGTCCCTTCTCGCTACCTCACTTATAATTGTAATAAAGATAACGCGATTCAATATATTAAATACATTTACCAGAAAAACTAAAAGACATTTAAGTATTTCTAATTAAGGTAAATTTAAGTACTACTTACTAATTATTACTAGGAATTTAAGTATTACTAATTAAGGTAAATTTAAAGACTACTAACTAATTATTATTCTGAATCACTCTCGCTCAACTCGGAATCAATTTGGCATTATGTTTATCGGCTGAAACTTGTTTCAGTTTTTTCTTTGGAAGCTTCCTAGGACTAGAGATATAAGATACGAGAAATCTTTGCAATCGAATTTTTCGAAAGTATCTATGCTCGTATAAAAATTTTATATCTAGATAACGGTAAGACCTATGGGATCGCCATTGGTACAGTAATGATCAGCGTCGAAAAAAAAATTTCTTTTTTTTGTCTGTCCGTTCTCCGTTCTCGTCTTTCAGTTTTTTCTGAGTAAATTTTGAACCGTTCGAGCTACAAAATTGAAGTTTGCCCCTTTTTTAGCCCCGCACAAGATGCATAAGTTTGTAAGAAATGGCGTCGACGCACCAAATTTAAAAGATAATAAGTCATTCTGGTATATGCTACTGTTGGACCTAACGAACCCCTTTTAAATAACGAAAAATAAGATACCTACCTAATGGAGTTGGTTCCATAATGTCAAAATATCGTGAAACAACTTGAGTCCAAATTAATTCGCTTTATTTTATAAAAAAAAAGTCACAATCTAAAAGTCTCTGAACACTAACCACACTCGAAAAACACCAAATTACAACTAAAATTAAGGTGGTAAAAGCCAAATATTGAAGAATAGGAATTTTGTTTTTACCTAATATGATAGGTTTTCAGGCGACTTAGACCACGGTGTGTCGGTCTCGCAATTTAGTTTGAGGATCAAATCGATTGGTTCACCCTGTAGATATACAAAACATCGCATGGGAGCACGCGCTACTAACCTGCGAAAATTGGTTTTAAATCTATGCTGCGTTTTCCCCCCAAAACCGGGCCCCATTTTACCGCATTTCGCACAAAAAATTGCGCTATTTGCTCAAAATGCATCCGCTAATATTATCGAGAAATTAACCACAAGGTCGCTGATTTGGACCAATCCCGTGGCCGCGGCACGTGTTAATTTCTTTCACGGTGTTTAATTTTCGGAGAAAAAGGTAATTGACGATAACGACACGGTAAATGCGAGGGACCCAATTATCACGAATCGCGAACGATACATTAATTAATGTTCGAATAATAAAAAAGCGACAATTATGCGCATCGATTACATTTTCCAACAATAGGCGCTTCAAATTTGGGCATGTCCACATTAAAAATACACAAAGGTGGCGTAGCGGCCTTGAACGGTTAAAACCAAGAGTGCCTTGCTTTTTAGAATCTAAAACATTAGCTAGTAGATAGCGGCCCTACTACGGTGTACGTTTTCATAGAGTTGGGAACGAAATATATGGTAGATAATCTTGACTGTTGTCACCAACGAACTTCTTATTCTACTTTATCCTGACCTAGTTATCTCGGCGACTCAGAATGATTAGAAACAAGGTAAAAACTTTTGAAATATGTTCACTTGAACATAATGTCACAATGTGACCAAACCAAAATAATTTCGCTTATGTGGTCCGACAGTTACTTTTTCTCAAATAACAATACTGCTGAAGTAATTTTTTAAAGAGACTTACACAGGCTACTGGAATACCACTTACTTACCGCCTGTGCAAGAGTTCTTCATACCCGTAAGGAAATAGACCAAATCAATAATTCTCTTCTGTCTCTACACCTTGAATTTTCTTTTATGTTGTTCCTATCCGAGTTCGAACCCTTTCAAACATGATTCATGACAAAGCTTTAACTTTTCATTTATCTACTACCCAAAATCACATTCAGAAATTTGAAAAAGTAACGTCAACTCTAGGACAACCATCAAACTCTTCTAAACTGCTGTGATAAATGTATCATCGCACCAATTTCGTCCTTGCCCCACGTCTTATCTACTACTATCTAAAACAGCTAATGAAATTCGATTTGAAGCCTTCAAAATCTAATATTGCCCTAAAATATCTAAAATCTAATCCCGACATTGTAATCCTAAAAGCAAATAATGGGAATGCTACGGTGGTCATGAACACAAATGAATATCAGGAAAAGATTGAAGATATTCTTCATATATAGAACGCAACCTTAAATCTGTTATTAAGGCTTCTTCTCTATCAGACAAATTTTCATCTGTCACCGCTCATGACTCTAAAATTCCTTGTCTCTACGGACTCCCTAAAAATCACAAACCAGAAATACCCCTTCGACCTATTGCCAGCACCATTCTTTCTCCAACAAAATTTGGCATAATGGTTAAGAATCTCGAGTAGAGTTTCTTAGACATTTAAACTCTATACACCCTACTGCCACGTTTTTTTTGAAGATTTAAATTAGAAAATTGGAATATTTAAAAAAAAAAGAAAAATATATATAAGGAAACAACGACAACCAAAGTAAATTAAGCGGAGAGTAGGGGTGGGTTATTGAGCGCCACTGGTCTGCCACGGAATGTACCAGAATTCCCCCTGTTATGGGTTTCCGTTACACGCCTGGACCCCACTTACTGTAATCTCTAATAAAAAAAATACAAAAAAAAAAAAAGTGAAAAATAAAATAAAAAAAAAATGTATATCGACCGGATTAGCTGACAGCTCGGTCTTGTGGGGTAGGTTAAGAAAAGAAACAGCAACATAAAAAAAAGAATTATTTAATAAGCTGTGCGTTTTACAATTGAATTAGAAAGTAATAATAATCTCCCATTCTTAGATATTCTTATCGATAGAAAATCAGACTTGTCACATCAGTATCCGGCTCAAAAATCATCGGTTAACAGCTCTCTTGTTTATGGAGTCGTAAAACTATTTTATCCCGAGTCACTGAACCTAGAATTAAAACACTTTACTTCTGCTTTTCTCTCTGATAATTTCCACATTAAAGATATTAAGCGTTCCATTACAAAATACACTTCGCTACAACCTTCAAATAACAATGAGCCCGAAAGCAATCCCACACTTGCAACTGTTTTCCTTCCTTACATTCAAAAGTTCAACATCTTCGATACGTTAAAAACAAAAATTCCATTTGAGTTTATAGCATTCCATGCGTATGCGACAAAGAATGCATTGGAGGGAGCGGACGAAAAATATCAACAAGGTTCAAAGAATATGAAAGATCGGCCTTTACCGGTCACCAATATGGGAATCAGTCATCCGAGAGCTCTGAAGAAGCCAACAGGATGATTGGCGCAACGTTAGCAAGTTCGACTGAAAAAAACCAACGCAGGAGTAGTTAATTATCATACATATTGGGGACTTACTTTCTCTTCTTGTTCGTTTTTTAGCGAACTGGCAGAATCTTCTGTAACCAGAGCCCGACAATGCAACGCCCTTACCATGTTCTATAAATCTACCATTGGTACGTTTTTCTTTATCAGTTGTTTTTCTACTGGCGTTGCTGTCTACAGTTTACATTATTCTGATATTACTGAAAAAGCCCCATCTAACTTCTTTAAGCGTTTCTCAATGTTGCCGAAATTTACTTCTTCTGCTCTCGTGCAGCTGGATTGTATTGGATCGTGGCACATCTAATTTAACAAAAGTCACTATCCTTGACAATGAAAGTTCTGAATTTCTCCCTGTTTCATCAGGTGTTCCGCAAGGTTCTGTCCTTGGACCTATATTATTCTTAATTTATATTTCTGATCTACATCCACCGAATATTTGAATTTGCATTTAATAGCTGACGACACTCAGCTATTTTACTCGTTCGATCCTAAATTATTTGATATTGTTACATCAATTTGGATTTGCATACCTTATTTCTATATTCTTCTAGGCATAATCTTGAACTTAATGCTAAAATATGCAGTATAATGTTCTTTTCTCCTAAACCTAACGGTGAACAAGTATCCCAAAGGTATTTATTGATTATTATTATTATATCAATAATAAACATGGCCCCTGACAGTTCGTCAAATCGACAGATTTCCATTTAAACTGAGCATTTCTTCTTGCTTTCTGTTTGAATGAAAATATCATACATCGTTTCAAAACAGACTTAAAAGGTCGAATTTTGCCCCCGTTATGATCAAACCGCTCTTGATAAATAAATAATTGCGGCTGGCATTAAATAATTACGTTTTATTATTCAATAAGCGCTGAGCGTATTTAAACGAATCTTAAATAGCGCGGGAGATAAAAGCCGCGATGTTGACACTGCTAAAGCCGCGCATACACAGCCGCTTTAGTCCGCTGGCGGTCATCGTTAGCTCGTTCTTGTAGGTTCGAGGAGAAGCCGATGCTATGGAACAGCATTGTGACGTCGGCGACCACAGTATTCAAGACCCAGGAGGGGCTGGACATGGTCAACGAGCTCTACGTCGAGAGGCAGACCGAATTCGGTAACGCAGACTTCGTGATCGAGAAGGCGCTGAAGAATATCAAGGAGGAGACCAAATGGAGCAACGAAAACCTGCCCGTCATCGAGAAATGGTTGGACGGCTACCTCAGCAGCAACAGCGAGAGGATCGGCGCCTGAAAGCCTCCCTCAGACGTGGTATTTATTGAGTTATTTGTTGATTATAATGCGTATTCCAATAAAAGTAGGTGAGAACGACGACTTTTATTTTGGTTCGAAATAACGTTCGCTTTTAAATGACGCCACCTAGTTGGCGCGCCCGGCACTAACGGCCTCTTAAAAACAACATTTTTTTTGTTTAAGATTTACGATAAAAAGTAATACTCCATTCAACCCAACTCCCAAAACTGCAAATAATAGTAACCAAAGGTAATAAGTGATGGGTTTTTGTCACCATTTGTGAATTATCCTCTAGGTAAGGTGTGGAGTGTCCCTTGAAAAAGCAAAAAGTTTTGACCACGAAGAAATAAAAACAAAAATGTTGAGTAGCTGTGAGCAACACAAATTCAATGCGAAAGATTCTTTTTTTTTAAGATATTGCCATCGGTTTTCTATAATCCAGCAATATTCCTATGAGACAAGGCTCGATTTTGGGATCTCTATTCTTCTCTCTGACTTTCCTTCTTCGAAACATGAATCTCTTCGTAATTAAACCCCCAAATGACTCTCAACTACTATCCTTTTTTCCAAGAATTGAAGTATTTGGTGCAGCTACAAAGCCTCGATATATCTCCAGGACATAACCTAAAGCTTAATGCCATTAAGTCAGTGGTGATGTTGTTAGGTCTACAAAAACAATTCTGTAAATTAAAAATTAAGTTTATAAAATTAAAAACTCTGCAGAACCTTCCTATTTATTTAAAAAAAATGGTAAAATGAACCAACATCTCCGAATGTGTGAATGTTATAATGCTTTCAAAGTGTATAATGATACCCCTTAAAGCATATCCATCTGCCAATTCTTTTAAGAATAATCTAAAAAATACTGTTAATGCGAAAGGAGTCCCTTTTTTGATTAACTATGGAACCCCTGGTAGCGGAGGGTCCTCAGGGTCACCAAATGACGAAAATGAGTCCCTTTCTTGATTGATTAAAAATGGGGGACATACCTCAAGTAGCAGAGGGTCGTCAAAACGACAACTAACCAAATGACGAAAATGACGTTATATATGACCTCAGCAGGCCGTGAAATTGACCTACTAATGTCTCGGACAAATGATGTCATTTAAATGTGGTCTTTTCTACGTGCATTAGTGTCAATTTTTTACGTCAACTTAGATTGTGGTGTCTACTGCCCAAAATATGATTTTTAAATTGTCTTTTTCTTTTTGCAGTGGGGAAAATCGAAAGTAAATTACATAGAATGTCTTTCGCGGTTGCGGAAAATGGAGAATTATAGGTAATGAAAAATAATGAGCTTTCGTGTTAAAAAAATGTAAGTATTGATTGATTTTTTCCTTTTGATTCACCTTGTATAAACGATTTGAACTTCAATACAAAACCACATCATAAAATTCTTGGTATAATAAAATTACAGAAGTCCCAAACGTCGTCAAAAATATAGGGTATTAAACTCACGGCATTTTTGACGAAAAGATGGCCATAAATCCGAAGACAATCAGTATAGACCATAACAACCCTACATTAGGTTATTGAGTATTAATGCGGGTATCTATTGATGCCATAATATACAGGGCCATTTCCCAAATATTTTGAATCACATATTAGGTAGCTGTTTCAATATACGGAGTGACAAAAAAAGTGGGAACACTCTATAACTTTTAAACAGCTCGAGATAGCGATTTGAAATATGGAACGGTTAATGTAGACTGCATGTCCAATTTTTTCACGATATGTATGTAGTCAACGGTTGCACTTCCGGTTTGAGCGGAAACGACAGAAAGTTTCGAATTTTAAATGGCACAATCCTATATTGTTTTCCATGTTTGGATTTAGCATACGTGGCATAGGACGCTTTTTCTCATTTTATTTGTTTTTTTAAATGTTTATTTCATTTTTGAAAATTGCGTCTAGGGGGCGGTGACTATCATAAATACTATTTAATTGTAAATGAAACTTTTCTTTACTTGTCTAATGGCAAATAGCATTTAAGGTAATGAACTATTAATTTTTTTGGATAAAATAGTTTTTTCAAGTGGGAACAAAATTTTTTTAAAATCGATACTCTTTTTGCAACATTTTCAAAATCCTTTAAAAAATTAGCTCAGAGGAAGTAAAAAACCAGATATCAGTTTTTTTACGATAAGCATATAGCGTTTCAGTTCCTTCGAAGGCAACTTTTAGAGCGGGTCCGGGCCTGACGATTAAAGTGGGATTTCGCAAAAACCGGCAGCTACTGGGACAAAAACCCGAAACTACAACGTCTACGTTAAACGGCGTTGATTAGGTTTAATTCGATAACGACTTTTATCATTCCAATAATAACGAATAATCGGTCTCGGACGCGGCAAGAGCGTCCCCACCCGCCTCCCAACGCACTACCCGGTGGACGTCGTCGTCGTAGCGCTCGACTCAGTAGTAATTGTTGCGCAAGTAGCCGCGATAACATGGCGAGGTCCAAAGTGAACAAGCTGGGGGACCTGCTGAAACAGACGCTCGGACGCGACGTCGACGTCGTCCGCGACGAGACGTCGCTCCTGACCGCACCCGGGGAACACTACGGTAGCGTCATGCTAGCGCTGAAGGTTAAGATAAAACGAAAATCTCGAGAGGAGGACCTGGACCTCGTCGCCAAACTGATACCCGCCAACGAGATGCTGCGCGTCGCGTTCGATATACCGGTGACGTTCAAAAAGGAAGTGTTCGCTTATACGGAGATGATTCCGGCTCTGGTGCAGCTTCAAAAAGAGCACGGGGTGCCGGAGAGCTTGTATCAGGACAGGCTCTTTCCCAGGTGTTACGGCGCGAGGCTAAACCTGGACGAGAACAAGAACGACGTCAACGAAGACGCCGTTCTTTTGTTCGAGAACCTGAAGGTGCAGGGATACTTCACCGAGGACCGATTGGTAGGTTTCGATGAACACGCGACCCGCGTTATCCTCAAAGACCTGGCGAGGTTCCACGCGGTACCGATAGCCCTCAAACTATTGAAACCGGCGGAGTTCGAAGAGAAGGTGAGGCCCTGTACCGTCTTTAACAAGGGCCTGGAGCAGTTGCCCGCCGAGGTTGGCCTCGCTTTCCACAACTCCATCATGGAAGGGGCCAAGGATATCCCCGACCTCGAGCCCTACCTACAGCGGCTTCAGCGCGTCGTAGATGACGCCCTGGTCAGGCCCTATGTGCAGAGGCACAGTCCGAACGAGCCCTGGGGCACGGTGACCCACGCGGACTTTTGGGTGAGCAACACGATGGTGCTGAAAGACAAGTCCGGTCGTACCGTGAGCAACAAGATAGTGGACCTTCAACTGATGCGGTACTGGTCGTGCTGTTGCGATTTGGTTTTTTTCCTCTTCACCAGCGTGGTGAACGACGTGCTGGAGGAACGCTTCGAGGAGTTCCTGAAGCTCTATCACGAGACGTTCTTAGATACCTTGAGGTACTTCGGGGTGGACATGGACTTATTCGGCTGGGACCGGTTCGTGGCGGAACTCGACGAGGTCGCGCCCACGGAGGTATATCACGTCTTGGTGATGCTCAAACCGATCTGTACAGAGCGGGGCAAGGTCACCAATACCGCGGAGGAGTTCCAGGACTCCGACTGGAGCAGGAAAGATTTGCTGGGTCCCAACCATCGCAGGAAACTGAGGGATACGGTTTTGGGGCTCGTGAAGCGCGGCTGGATATGAAATCGAATCGGAATAAACAATAAGCGGTTGTTTGTGCGTTTGCGACTTGTATAATAACAATAATAAATTCTTTTATCTAGGTTATACCGCCGAGAGTGTTTATTTCCGCGTTTTGCACAAAAAAAATATTGTTTATATTGTTATTGAAATGTTACGGCGGCGAAACGTTGGCCATTTACGTTACGATAATAAAAACGGCGAGAAAAAATTGCGAAAAGGAAAGGTATACGACGGAGGACCGCAGGTGAGAAAGTATTTTACGGAAGCGAATTAAGCGGAAAGAAATGGCAAAAAATAAATGGCTTTTCTTAAGCGTCGAAAAAACGATCCGCAACAGCAGTGTGGGCGTCGCGTTCGGCTAAAACATAAAAACGAGAACTTTGATAAATGTCACTTTAATCACGAGTTTGACTTGGCAGCAGTTTTTTCAAGATTTTGAACGTGTTGCACACGGCCATTAATTTTTTAGTGGATTTTTGCAAACATCACGAATACATTCACCGAGTGATGTGTGACGTGGCCATCAGAGCTGACAAACGTCAAAATACAAAAATAAATTACTCTGGAACCAACTCAACGCACGCTAGATCAGTTTATTGGGAATTTTGCGTTTAGACTGCAATATTTACCACAAGCCCAAACTAATGTTATTGTTATATTACAGTAATAAATTTAAAAAAGGAACATTTTATTAAAAAACACCTGCATATTTCTGATTTTTATTTTGGGTATTTTATCGTCTTATGCACATTCACCATATCCTTAGAAAATACCCATTTTTTATGTTGTCGGTTTTTTGCCAACCAAAATTAAAATAAGTGCTATAGGTAATGACGCTTTTGAAATTTAGTTTTTTAACATCTCTAATTTGAATATTTCGTGCGTCCCCAAAGTTATAATTCCTCGTCGTGAAATTAAAATAAGTTTCCGTTACTTGTGAAACATTTTATTTTTTGTGACGTTTCGGCCTTCAAGACCTTCTTCAGACATTTAATTTTAACCTTAAGCCAAAAATCAACGGTTCACTATATAGTTGTTTGGTAATTTACAGTTTTACAACATTCACAACAGACATATCGAATATGTAATGTGTAATTCGCCATCTTATCAATGTGGCTTGTCGAATTACATATTCGATATGTCTGTTGTGAATGTTGTAAAACTGTAAATTACCAAACAACTATATAGTGAACCGTTGATTTTTGGCTTAATTTTAATATTAAATGTCTGAAGAAGGTCTTGAAGGCCGAAACGTCACAAAAAATAAAATGTTTCACAAGTAACGGAAACTTATTTTAATTTCACTAAAAAAGGACCAAAAAAAACCCAAGAACCATTTCTTAAGTGTATATATATATATATATATATATATATATATATATATATATATATATATATATATATATATATATATATATATATATATATATATATATATATATATATATATATATATATATATATATATATATATATATATATATATATATATATATATATATATTCTCACGTATTGATTCACGGATGGAAAAATGTGATGACACTATATTCCGGGATATCATCCGTTCGCTCGTTGAACTCCGACTGGAATCCTGCATCCGACTGGAATCCTGCAAATCTTGCATCCGACTGGAATCCTGCAGACGTTTCGCCAAAATCTCACTTGGCATCTTCAATGCTCGCGCTCCGAAAACACTTCGAACACTCTATATATATATATATATATATATATATATATATATATATATATATATATATATATATATATATATATATATATATATATATATATATATATATATATATATATATATATATATATATATATATATATATATATATATTCAACATTATCTAATTTAATGAATTTTATAAAGCAACGTTCTCTCTCTGTATGAGTAAGCTTATCGTAATTGTATAGAATGTTTTGAATTTTATTTTGTAACGTTTGCGTATAACTAATTTTTTTTAAATTGCACATTCCTTAGACAGGCAGGCATCTCTTTTTAGCACACATTGAATGCACATTATTTTATTGTTGAAGGAGTTGCGCTACCAGCCCTACGATCGACGTGAAGTCTGTGGAGGTCACAAAAATGTAATACGAGTGCAACAAAAAATAGCACACGGCGGAAAATCAATTCGAACAGAAATGATTTTGCAATTTACATCTCTAAAAGTTATATAATAATAATAATTACGAGGCGTCTTATTGACATTTTCGACAATTTTTGTTATCTGCTATATTTAATATTTAATAACACAGACATGTTGTTGAAAAATGTTAAATTTTCATTGAAGGGGTGCGTTAAACTTTAAAACTCAACAAGAAAGTTTTTTTTTATTATAAATTTGGTTCGCTTTACAATGTTAATGTCGTAATCGAATAGCGACATCGTTTTATTAAACAGATCCGCTTACACGTTATCAGCGATTATTCCATTATCAATTCAAATTGCATCGACACATGCATTCGTTAGTTTGCCGCGTGGATATTCGTCGCGGAGGAAAGGTTGCGTCTACGATGGACCCAGTGGCGCGCCGTCCAAAAAAACTCGTCTATTTTAATATACATTTTTTTATTTATAAGTAACTTATAGAAAAAAAAAACAAATAAATACTCTACGAAAATCGGGCTCATATCCAGCCGATCCTCATCATTGACAGCAACGTGTGTATGAGCTTTTTCCTGTGCACGGGACCCAGCAGGTCCTGCCTCGTCCAATCCGAGTCCTGAAACTCTTCAGCGTTCCTCGTCACCTTACCCCTCTCAACGCACACGGGCTTCAGCAAGAACAGGATATGATACAATTCCTCCTTTCCCGCCTTGTCTAACTCGTCTTTGAACTTATTCCAGGCAAAACGATCCAAGTCGATTTCGTAATCGCTCAGCGCGTCAATGAAGTGGTCGTAGTACGTTTTCACCAGGTCGTCGAAGTGCTCGTCCAACACTTCATTCACGACGCTGGTGAATAAGAAAAACACCAAATCGCAGCAGCAGGACCAGTACTTGACCATCTGCAGGTCTACGATCTTGACGTCGACAACTGCGCCTGCTTCGTCTTTCAACACCATCACGTTACTGGTCCACAAGTCCGAGTGGCTCATGGTACCCCAGGGCTCTGCCGGAGGCGGCCTCCTCGCCCACGGGACCCGTTTCGAGCGATCGATTGCCGCTCGGATACGTTCCGCGTAGGGTTCGAGCTCTTCTGCTTTGACACCTTCCTCTATGGGTGTCTCGAACGCTTTACGAGCGGCCTCGGGCCACTCATCGAACCCTTTGGTGGGTCCGAGCCCCGGGAGGACCTTTTCGGAAAAGACTTCCGGTTGGAGGTGCCTCGCGGCGATGGGAACCGCGTGGAACCTAGCGAGGGCCTTCAACACTAATTTGGAAGCTTCGAAATCGAACCCGACTAGACGGTCGAGGGTGGTATAGCCTTTCACCTGGAGGTTCTCGAACAGAAGGACGCCGTCCTCGTCCACCGGGCCTCCGTTCATGTCGATGCTGGGCCTCGCGGCCAGACACCTGGGGAAGAACTTGTCGAGCACCTTCTCCTCGCGTATCTTCCTCTTGCGTTGGAACGCGACCAGAGCCGGGATGGCTTGGGTGTACGCGAATATCTCCTTCTTGAAGGTGATCTGCACATCGAAGGTGTTCCTCAGCATCTCATTGGACGGGATCAGTTTGGCAACGAGGTGAAGGTCGTCGGTGTCTGCGGAAGACCTTCGTCCGAGTTTGACGTCGAGCGCGAGCATGATGCTGCCGTAATGCTCACCCGGAGCGGTCAGCAGCTTTGTCTCTTCCCGTAGCACCTGCACGTCGTGATGCCACGACCTCTTCAGCAGCTCCTCCAACTTTTTCACATTCGAACGCGACATCTTGTGAGATCGCGGCCTTCGGACGTCGCTCGTATATATACCGGGAGATAACGCGCCTTTTTTTCTTTCAAAAAATCTCACGATACGGCCGCACAATTCGGTTTAAAGTGCGTGCGCTTTTTTTCTACTCTTCCGCCGCGATAACGACGGGCCCCAAGGTCCCTGGATGTGTTTTCTCCGTCTCCGGTTACTGGGTGTTTTTTTTTCTCAATTTAACACTCGAACGCGATTTTTTTTGGACGCGTTTTCCCGCCCCACTTTTAGATAATCGTCGTGCACGCAATACCGAGGCTGTCTTGCGTTATAGACCAGTCGGTAGGGGCTAATGGAGCCCGCAGATAGCGATCTAATCTGCAGCCGCGAAAAAAAAAATCGGGGTTACGACATACTGAACGGATTTAACGAGATTTGATTTTGTCCGGACTTTTTGAAGCTTTACAAATTTGAGCGGCACAATTTGTTAGAGCAAGGTGATGGGGACATCGGATAGGAAGAAAATTTTAAGAAGACAGATACGAACAATTATAAGTATATATATATATATATATATATATATATATATATATATATATATATATATATATATATATATATACTGGGGAACTTTTATTGTTTACAGAGGTTTTCAACGTGACATTTTGGCTAAAAACGTCGGTATCCTTGTCTACCTTTAGTTAAACTAATATCAAATGTCCTGTAGAAAGAAGTGAGTAGTTTTGACTTGGAGGCTATACATATGGGCGATTCCGTTCTAACTTTTTTATTTAAAATTTCTAAGATTTCAAAACTAGACCTTTCAATTTTTTTATGCATATCATTGATCTATTTTCTCTTTTTAGTTCATTACCCTAAGAAGGGCTTAGTGATTATGATGCTCTTGAAGCAGTGCTTAAGGTATTGTGCCATTCCGTTCTATTCTGAGCTATGATTACGGTTTCATGAAGGCCATGGCCGATAAGATCCTTGGTTTGATCTATCCATCTTTTGGGTGACCTTCCGCGCGACGGTCTTCCTTCTACCTTTCCTTCGACTATTAGTAGTTGCAGCGAGTCCGTTCTTCTTGCAATATTTCCAATGAATGTTAGAAAGCTTCGATTTATCATCTTTGACAGATTTAGTTCAGTATTTAGTTCTTGTAGAACGGACTCATTTGTACGACCATATTTCAAAGGCATCTATCCGCCTTGCATCGCTCTTCTTGATCGTCCAGGTTTCACCTCCATAAGTGGCAATCGGGAACACAAGTGACTTCAACAATCTTAGTTTGCTGTTTTTAGTGATCGCTGTATCTCTCCAGATCTTACTTAACTTAGTTAAGGATCCCAAGTACAGGTACTTATTCACCATATTGAACCCAGCTAAGGTTTTTACGTGAGGTTGGTTCTGGTTTTGCCGATCTACAATGATGACATTAGTTTTGTTTGGATTTAATTTCGATCCAAATTCTGCACTAGTTTCCTGGAGACGGGGCATAATAAAATCCATTTCTTCTACACTAGCGTGTCGTCGGCATATCCCAGATTGTTGACCTTTCTTCCCCCTACAGATATGCCACCCTGCCAGTTATCCAGAATGTCCCGCATTATGTATTCGGTGTATATGTTGAACAGTAAGGGCGAGAGAACACATCCTTTTCTGATACCCTTCATCGCTTGAAACCTGTTTGATGTGACATCGTTGATTCTTATCAGACCGTAATTATATTTATAGAGATGTGGGGTAAGTATTATTAAGTGGTCAGGGACCCCCATTTCTTTGAGTATTTGCCACAGTTTTGTCCATTTTACCAAGTCGAAGGCCTTGGAGTAATCGACAAAACAGAGGTACCTTGTTATGTTAAATTCTCTAGCTTTCTCAATTAGTTGTCGTATGTTTCCTATTTGTTCTCTCGTACCATAAAGCCGGCCTGTTCTTCTGCAATCTGGGGTAGTAGATATGGTCTAAGTCTGTTATTAATGATCTGTAGGAGAATTTTGCATGCTTGGGGTATTAATGCAATCATGCGGTAGTTATTGCAGTCTGCTGGGTGACCCTTTTTATACAGTGGCATATAAAGTGAGCCTCACCATTCGCCTGGCCAAACTCCTGTCTTCCAAACTCGATTACATATAAAATGCAAAACATCAACTACAGGCTGACCTATTGACTTTAGTATCTCTGCAGCTATGCCATGTATGCCTGGACTTTTATTGTTTTTGAGGCTCTTTAAGGCGCGTTCAACCTCCGATTTAAGAATCCCGGGTTCGTGTTCGGTAAGTGTAGAAAAGTTTACGGTGTTAAAGGGTCCGTCATCGCTGTAAAGTTTATTGCAGTATTTCCCTCAGACCTCAGCAATGCCATCCGGATCGGTAGTCATTCTACCATTTTCGTCCAGTATAATTTGTGTGCGAAGTCTAAACTCACGAGAGAGGTATTTTACTTTATTGAACGGTTCCCTAGATTGGTTGGTTTGAGGAGTGCTTCTCTATTTCCATGCAGATTTTGTGAATGTGTGCGTTTTTATACAGCCTACAGCTGATTTTATTTCTTTGTTGATGTTTTTCAATTTTAACTCTTTATCAGATATTGTTGCTGGTAAGGCTTTTACGTGTTTTCGATGATGCGGATCACTTTCGCAAAATCGATGAAATTTAATTGCGCATGCAGCGTGTATAAAGTGTCCTTCACATCTCGTCGACCTTCAAAGTTACAGCAAACATGGGTAAAATTTGCACAACACACTCTGTATATGATTGTTTTCGAGAAAATAAGTTTTTTCTGAAACCATGCAGTGCGCCCGAAATAACGATTTCAATATGAATTTTTTCAAATATCCCGAGCAACGAAAACCGCAAATACAATGTGTTGATGCGGCCTATGACACTGTTTGAACCCATTCGCCATATTTTTTACGATTTTTGATTTGCGGCTAATAATTTACTCTGTAAAAGCATCTTTTAGATTTTTGCCTATAATTTGAAAACTCTGTATATAATGGAAAAAATGCCTAAAATAAATGTTATTGCACTGGATCTATTTTATATATTTATGTATTTTTTTTATATATTTATTTTTATTTTATATTTTTCTGGACACTTAAATTATAAAAAAAAATATTAAAAAATACTTGGTAAAATTTGATCTCTACCGTTTAAATGTGGACAGAGACTTTTACTTCTTTGCTAATTTTAAAGGTGATATCAAATTTAGGACATTCATTTAGCACGGAATATCGGGAACACCCTGTACAATAGATGAAAACCTTAAATACAAAAGTTTTTGCTATATATGAGGGCTGTGTCGCAATATAAAAGAAAGTGAGATCTGAATCATAGTCTTTCATTTATAACCAATTTTCAATAATAGGGCGACCCATTTTTCGGTTTTTTTGAATTTGCGGCGCACCCTGTATATTATTAAAAAATTGTCAAGAACAAAAGTTTACGGAGCCACATCTTTTGCGTCTTCTGGTTCAAGAATTTTTTTGGTAAACAGTTTTTGAAAAATGATGTTTTTTACAGATCCTTGCACACGCGATTTTTATTTTTTTTTAGAATACTTCCCTATACCCCAGCCCCCCATTTTCACGGGGCACAGCGGCATATACGTGCCAAATATGACGTCGATTGCTTTAAATTTCGGACACTTATCGTGTTTCATAGCAATGTCCAAAAACAGTCGAAAATCGCGAAAAAAAGTTGGCGAAAAAAAGACGACGTCGTATCAGGGCCATTTCTTATACGCTAATGTTAAATATGACGTCAGCAGGACGTGAATTTGACCTACTAATGTCTCAGATGAAAGATGTAATTTAAGTGGCGTCTTTCTTACGTCACTTAGTATCGTCAATTTTTGTCATTTAAGTGACATCTTTTTTACGTCAACCTACTTAGTAAATTAGTGTAATTAAAGTAAGTAAATTAAATTTCATAGAACGTTTTTTACGTTTGCGTAAAGTGGAGAATTATAGTTAATGAAGAAAGATTAAAAATTTCAATAAATCCGAAAACACTCAGGATAGATTACCCTATATTCTCTATATTGTCATTTCACGACGACATTCTGAGGTCATTTTTGTGGTGTTAATGAGACACACTTTTTTGACGTCAATTTGACCTGTTTTTTGGACCACTAATGAGTAGCGACCATGAAATTGACGTTACTTTGACGATCCTCTAGAACGTTATATAAAATATATGATGAAATGTGTTCCAATTAATACTAAAATGTCATTATTAGATTCCTAATTAATCATCATTGAGAACAAACAATACAAAAACTAAAATATCACGTTAAAACAGAATCACCCATATATATGAAATCTAGTTCTTTGGTAGCAACTGGAAAGTCGGTACCAAAGAAGAGTTGCCATTAGTCATAACCCCTAAAGCGACTATGAGAAACCTGCCAACTATGGAAGACTGGGTCCAGAACAAAACTAGTTGGTTCACACAAGAGTGCGGGATGCGCATGAAGGATGAGTATGGAAGCAGCATGTTCTCTTCAAATTCAATGAAAATATATGAGTCAGGTCAGAGCGACATTGTCAAATATGAAGAAACCCAAAACTTTATCATGACAGATGTGAGCAATTGAAGTCCCTAGGGTAGATTTTTATATAAGTCTTAAATCTACAGAAAACAAGATCAAACTTTTTTACTTGAATAAAGTAAGAAAAATTTTGGTAAACCTCAATCATATATAAGGAAGATGTGAAGATGAGTCGTTCTGGCCAGACACTTTTAAAATATAACCAATGAGACATGGGATCTTAGGGAGTTGCAGAATTCTCAAACCTGAGCAAGAGGAGTACTTGAAGTCCAAGGAAAACAGACAGACAGGCAGGCAAAGGAGCAAATCCTTCACGAGGTCGCCACTAAAACCCAAATAAAACCACCTCATGCAAAACAACCACTGTTTTTATTAAACGATAACAAAACAAAAACAACGTCAAACGTTCACTGTCGATGAGAAGATCTGCTTCAAGATCTGGGGCAGTTCTCGGGTGTCGTTGCAGACGAAAGCTCGTCCCAAAGGTAACCTCTCGGTCAACCTGAAATGCGGACCTAACCATAGACCCTCTCTAGACATTCCACTGACCCCACCTCTCAGCTTGATCTCCAAGGCCTCCGATAAATATCGCGTAGGAGCTCACTTTTGGTTTCATCGTGAGCGCCTCCGCCAGCCTGGACGCCGGTATGCCGTACCTCTGCAGGTTAGCGTCCGACATCATCACCAAAATGGCTTCGTCGCAGTCTTCCTCGGCTAGCGTCGACACGGCCCATTCAGTCGACTGCAACGTGTTGTCACCCGACCAACAGTACTGCGAGTGCGCGTGCATGGTCTGAAACCCCTTTTTCGTCGTCGTCCCTCCCACCGAGTCGTAGTATACTTACCCTGAGCACATCGAGCCGTTCCTTGTCGTTTTTGGGTGGTTTATCTCGCGGCACAAAGACGATCTTGTGCGAATCCCCCGAGTGCCCTATGATATCGTACCTGATTTTATCTTCGAAACCGTCGAACGCTTCCATCACGAGCACTACCGCCTCCAGTTCCCTGTCTAGCCGACCGTCGTAGCCATTGAACCTGTACATACTCCCCGATACGTCCACTACCACGCGGAAGAGTTTGGGTTTGAGCTGGGGCGCCCCTACTTCCGGCTCCTGGTCCGCCCTCCTACGAAATATTGTCTTCTCCCCCAAGAGCCCTGCGAAAGTGTTATAGGAACAGCCTCAGGGGTCAGACCGAAACGACTTACCGTCGATCAGTTTGACGTCGTCCAGTTCACCGGAAGTCTGATGCCTCGACCAGTGTCGTTCCTTATTTTTCGCCTGCAGGTTACCCAGAATCACCCTCAGAGACTGCACTTGCCTGGCTACGGCGTCGGAGAACTGCGAGTACACGTTGTGGTCGTACCCAGACATCCCAATCTCCTTCAACTTTTCTTGGAAGGCCTTGCGTCCCATCTCCCGCGCGGCTCTTTGGACGTGCTCCGGTACGGACGCCTTCTCCTCGTCCGACAACTACAACTTTCCGTTCTCACTGCATCCTTAAAACGCCCTTAGAACATACCTGGTGCACTTGGTGTCCCTTGTCCAAGCGGTAAGGACCTCCTTTGCCTCCCAGACCCGCGGTGTCTCTGCCTCCAGTACCGCCAGCCCAAGTGTTACCTCCAACGTGAGGTTCGTTTTTGGGGTCCTCTTTGCCGTGTTTCGGAGCTGACGTGTCTAACCTAATGCCAACCATCAGGGCAGCTCGACGGATAGAACGCAAACTTACCCACTATGCCTGTTCACCGTTACCTGGAGGCGTTCCCTTGCCCGTTTGACAGCCATATATTCAGAAGTGATCACGTTCTTGCCGGAGAAGCCGTGCTTGACGAGAACTTCCCCGACGGCCTCCAACAGTTCCGGACTGTAACGATCGAAATCGAACACGTTAAACACCACATCCTCGAGGTCCGCGCGTGGAAACCTTTGAATGTGCTTGACGATGTTGACGACCTCCCTGGTAGAGTAAGGGTAATTGAGTAAGCCGTCATCGGCCATCGTCCTCAACTCCCCGAAAACACCCACCAGCTTCTCTATGACCTGGAGCGGCACGTCGGGGCCATACATACGGAGGAGTTCGATTTCCGACTCCCTGGACGGGTTTTCGACCGCCTTGCAGCTGAACAAGTCGCCGAGTGCCCCGAAGAAATCGTTGCCGAGGAAGGGAAACCCAGGTCGGTTGGCCAAGACGATCATCCGGAAATCGGGGTGAACTCGGATATCTCCACCGCTACCGCGGCTGATTTTGCGGCCGTCGCCGAGGATCATCTGACCTGACTCGACTAGCGTCTTCAGTATACACGTGACGTGCGTGGGTGCCTTGTCGGCTTCGTCGACGACGAGCACGTGGCCGAATTTTATCGCCTTTACGAGCGGTGAGTCTTCGTGAACGAGCACGCCGTCCCTGACCGTCGGCTGAGTGGTCAAGGTTTGCACCGTGGTGTCCCGATGAAGCTGGATGTACTCCCTGGGGCGGTTCAGCAGCTCGAGGAAGCGGTCGACGATTTTATTCTTGCCGACGCCCTGGTTGCCGACCAGTAGCAGGTCGTACCCCAGCTGGAAGTCGCGCAGCATCGACTCCATCAGTTTCACGTGCTGCGGGATGTCGTAGAACACCACGTGAGGCACTTTCGTCAGGCTCTTGGATTGATAGACCGGCGCCGACGTGCGGCCTATAGTGACGACGCCGTCGTTGACGTGGCACGCGAGTTTATCCAACTGGTCCGTGTCCATGACTTCTTCGGGCACAATTCCGACGCTCCTAATCGTATTCTCCAGGGACTTCCGCGTCAGCTGCGGCAGGAACTTCGTCATGAAAGTCTCCGAGAGCATGTCGTATGCGTCGTGCGACTCGTAGTGGCGCATGCGGGCCGCGATCCTCAGCAATTGTCTAGTCGACAAGTGGCCGGAGAGGTCTTTGAGGGCGGGATCGCGGTTATCCCTCAGAGTGTGGGCCAGGTCGATGATTTTGTGGAGGTTTCCGCCGATGGGCCCGAACTACAACCAAGATTAGTCTTCTGAGACGACAAGAAGAGTGTGGGGGGTGGTACCTTCGTCGTGATTACGTGCATCTCTTCGCTCTTGCTCAGCGTACGCAATTCGTGGTACAAAAACAGGCTCAGCATTTCAGGCGACATCCAATTACCGTCGCCGGAACGGGCGTTGGGGGGTTCCCCCACCGCCGCTAGCCGAAATCGAGGGTGGATCTCGTATACACCCCTTGCCTCTAGCTCCTCCATGGTCAATCCAAGTTTGTCCGTCAAGAAACGGTACCGTTCGCTGCCGATCAAGCGTTTGCCGTCGTAGAGCTGAAGTTCTCGGTCGTGGACCAATCTGCAACGGTCTCGATCAAGAAGCTTCCGGACACCAGGCTGACGTACCTGTGCAAAACGGAAAACGTGCTGGGGTGGATCCTGTGGATGCCGTCCAAGATGGCGAGTTTGCCTTCTAACGCGGCCTTCACCAGCGGCGCGAAGGTCCAGACTGTATCGCCGTTGTCCAAGGTGGTCCGTTGTTGAATCAAGTCCCTGGCGGTCATGTCTTGATATAAAACGATGGTCTCCGTTTCGTTGCCCAAGAGGGAAGCCAGCTTTTCCAGAAGCATGGTTTTTCCGGATCCGCTTGAACCAACGACGCAAAAGTCCGAGGTCTTGGATGTCTGCAGCATTTGGAGGAGGACCCGGTTCTGGTAGATCGTCTCAACGTAGGTATCCGGAAGGATCGATTTAGAGGCGTCGGGGAGCTTAGGAAGAGTGTCTCGTTGGATGTGGTTCTGGGGGAGGTCGATGAACGCGGACAAAAGGGATTCGACGCTTTGGACGCCGTCACCGAGGAACGTCCTGTAGGGATATAGGCGGTAGAGGATCTCGTGCGGCTGGACGTCCGGGTTTTCGTTCTGAAAATTTTCAATGTTGTACGTTGCGGTGGAGTTTATACAGCGGATACTTTACCAGGATCCTGACGGCGGTTTTCAGGTTGTCAACGGGAAAGTCGGGCAACAACAAGAACTTGGTGTCTTCGTTGAGAAGGGCGAACGCGCAAGACAAGAGCTTGTCGATCTTATCTTTAGGGGCGTTTGGGGCAAGGGCGTTCAGCTCATTGTGCCACTCCTGGAAAACAACGCGAAGGGCGCCTCTGGCGAGATCTGGACAATTGCCAAGGAATTTCGGCGTTCCAAGATTGTCGCGTGTCCGCCGACTCTCCGGGTCGAATTTCACGCGAAATATCCATTTGCGACGCCGGCAATTACGCGGCAATAAATAATAAACTTACGGACGCGTCGCATATACGGGGTCTGGCGAAAAGCGCGATGCGTGTTGGAATTGTTGTTTTAAGAAGCCAGAACAGTTTGTCGTGTTTACTGTTCGAAATGACGTTCTACTTCGGAGTACAAAATTTAAACCAATTCTTGAGAAAATCAAGAAAGCTACAGTTTTTACTTGTTGATCAAACCTGGTACGACCAAAAATATTGTGCATTTCTTGCTCAGTACCTTAACCCCCGACTTGAAATTTCTATTTGAAAGGTAAATGGACAGTTTTAAATTTATAGCATTGATGCTGCGGGGTATTTTCGAATAACCAGAAGCATTTATTTTAAAATCAGGTGATATGTGTCGTTCTTAAGAGTTTAATCTAAATTGGAATATGTTCGCATATATTACGGAGGCATTTGACTGTTACCTGAATCCCAAGGTTTGACCCTGCGAAGCTGTTTTCACAGGATAGTTCAAAGGGTAAGTACCTGTACTGTATTTATCTTACAGGTAAGTTTGAAAATTATCATTTTTGTCTTGTGCGCCTGTCGATTAACAATATTCCTCTTCTTATATTCTTCGATTTGTAAACAACAACAGTCTTTTTGAGATTACCCCCGTATTATTGTCTATTTAACCCGATTGAGTTGAAATACCGCATATAAGAAGAAATAACACTGCACCAAAATTTAGTGATAGTGCCATGAAGGTAATTCGGCAAGAGGTAGCAAAATCATGATCGGTTGCGAGAGATTTTCCAAAAAATCTTAAGAGTCTTTTATACTTGCTGAAGTATGTTTCAATGAGGATGTTGCGGAATTTTTTTACGCTCCTCCCATCCGCACCTCAACGAAAAGATACACCCGCGATATCTTACGCGTGTTTCGGTCCTAATTCGGACGTCAAACCGACGTCGCCTAATTTTCTCGAAACGCTCGGTATAAATATATGCAGCTGCCTCTTGGTTTTCGGCCTCGACGGCCCCGGATACGTTCCGATCCGATCATAAATAGGTGCAATTTCCAACTCCGACGTTACGGCACGTTCCCCGTGGGTCTCCTCCAGGTCTTCGTCGCTTAAAAACCTGCCGCCGCTTTCCGACGGTGTCCGGCACCTGAAGTCGACGGTCGCGCACTTCTCCAGGAGGCGACAGGGGCGTATCGAAGGGGCACACTCTTCGCGTCGTCCAGCGAGGTCCAGCCACACCAGGACGCGTTCGCTGAGCGAATCGTCAACGCGCGATGTCCGTTTCCGGGTTTCGACGTCGTCCTCGCACCTGGGGGGCAAATTCGTTGGGCGTCGTCCCCGAACGTTACAGGATTCGGTCTCCTCCAGGCTGCCCGGCTTCGTTCGGGACTCGGTCCAGGTCTTGGGCCTGCACGACAACGTCGCCGTCGGTTTGTTCGCACGCGGCATAGCCGGGCACGCATCTTTCGCATCCCCCTGGTCAATCGGACGCCGACGCGGAGGCCTAATCGGCGGCGGGGCGAAGTCGCCCTTCGTGTCGTCGAGAATGACGTGGTGGTGGCCGTCTTGCCATACGGTACGGACGTACAGGGGTCTGCGGCTCGACTCCCAGTGTGTCACCATGGAGACGGGGCGACCGGCACGCGACACGACGCGACAGGAAATGGAGAAAATGAAAAGTTGCGACTGCGGCGAGAGCGTCGCGACGGCGGCGCGCACAACTGTCGCGTCTCGGGGGGTAACAGATCCGGGAGTTTTTTTTTTCCGCGCCCGGATCACAGGATCTATTCGGGTGGAGGGGGCGCACTTTGTCGGATTTAATTCCGGCGTCGGAGAACGAAGTCGCGTCAGAAGCGACACGAAAAACCGTAAAAACACGAAATATCATTTTATTAATTTATAATTTAATATGAGGCCGGTGTTTAATAAAAATAACTGAAGGAGTTAGAAGATTTGCTGAGTCACATTGTTGAAATTCCTAACCACATTTAATGTAACTGATGTCTTAACCCAGGTAGCACACAGTATCCCCAGTATATCCGGTTAATGTCCCATTTAAGTCGCAAACCTATCAAGTTAAATGTTGAACAACTGAGAAGGAAAATACGGACAACACTGTTCGGCTGCAACCAATGACGCAACTACTCGCGGTCGTTCCGTGCCGCACTCGCTCGGGTCTCGTCTCCTCGTCCCATCTTTTCAGCCTTGTTTTTGTTGGCGGTATACTGTATACGGCGACTTGGCGTCTGTTTTGAGTATTTTGTGTAATGTGCTTACTACTTTCAGAGCTGTCATTTCAATTATTTTTTGTGGTATTATTATTATTATTGAAGAACTAATAAATCACGTAAGAAAAGCTTTATTTTTGCGTAGTCTACCTACATAAAGCCTTGTGTCTTATTATTTTGCTAGGTCAATGAGATAGCAAGATCAGGCGGCGGCAGCAGTTGTGGGTTTGTAAAACACGCTCTGACCCCCAGATTTCAAACTTGCAATGAAATTTAATCCGTTGGGCATGAAGAAAAAGGAGAAATTTTCAAAATTAAAAGTGGCCAATTAGTACTGGACGTAAATGTAATGTAAATAAAGTATAAGAAATATTATTTAATAAAATATATGTTATGGCGATTGTTTAGTTGATACTTTTTTTAAGGAGTGATTGTTGGACCGAGTCAAGATAAAACTGACATCTTTTGATTCTAGATATCTTTTCGTATCTTATTGTTCCGTTTTTCAAAACAAAAATAAAATCCAGTTTCTCTTCATGTTTCTCGAGCAGTTAAATTTAAAACTAAACTAATTTTTTATTTAAGTAAGCGATATTAGAGAAAATCCCCCAGAACAAAATTATATTTTTAGTTATATAGTATAGTTAGTATATTTTTGTCCCAAAATGATGCCAGAATCACCCCCCAAAAGCAAAGCATTGCTTTTAGGAATCACCCTGCACTCATCAAGAGCAAAAAAAAACTAGAAAAATTTTTAGATTGACAGAAAATATTGAATGAAAATAGCCTTCACTCTCAAACTGAAAAGTCACGTTTGTTCTAGTTTTTTTTTGCGCCCGATAGTACCTACTCTCATGAAAGAGATCTTACCGATGAGAGTTTAATGATGTGTGTATTTAATAAAATGAAATTAGTAAATACCTACATCATCGTGGAGATTAGCATCTAGGATTACTTTTATGAGAGTACTATCAGCGTCAAATCAAGCCTTTACTTAAAAGGCGGATGTAGGGATTTTCTAAACCTGTTTTTTAAACATATAAGATACGATAAGATAAGATACTTTTTTTTTATAAATTACAGATATATAAAACCTGTCTTTCTCAAAAGTAAAATATTTTCGAATGCGGACAAGCAGGCAAACGCGTCACAAACATCAAAAGAATGTGAGAATTCAATAGCTCCTTGGCCGAAAAGAGCTACTTTCACCAAAGAATGACAGAAAACCTGTTAAATATTAGTTATTCTTTTTGAGTTTAGTTCAAGATATATAGATATATACTATATATTTAAAATACTTTAGGTTAGGTTGTCCTATATTTTTGCTATATTATATACCTACAATTTTTTCATATCTTCAATAGAAAAAAATCAGATTTGTATAAAATCTGTTTTATTAATGGAATCAATCAGCAGCCTTTCACTTTTAGCACCAAAAGAAAAATTAAAGCCTAAATATTAATTTGGAAAAAAAATTGTGCATTTCAAATATCTCCTGCTATTCTAGTGATGACTTCACCAAGCATACAATAGCTTAGTACTGGGATAGAATTTTTGTAGCCCTACAACCAATTGGACTACTGAACATTACCTTTCCAGTATTTCTCATAGGGTGTTGGAAATAAGTCTTGTGGATGTCCCTTAGCTGAAACAGTATATCCCTAAGATATAAGCTATGTCCCGTCAGATATCCCGAGGACGTTTTACGGACGTCCCTGTGCTATTTGGGAAATTAACACATAACTGTAGCGAGTAACAAAATCAAACAACGAGCTAGTTAACATCGCGGCAAAAGTTTCCTACGAATTGAATTGAGAATCTTCCACGTTCCGCATCCTTGGAAAACGCTGCAAAAGGAAAGGACGCCTGGCGTATATTGCGATGGGGCGCCGATAAAACAACCAATTCCGAAAGTAATCAGACTATATTCAATTTATTCGTTCTTGTTGTGCAACCAATTCGCACTAACGGCCGTCGCCGTCCGTCTATTGGCGCTAATCATGCGATCCCACTCCGCGACTGGGCGTGTTTACCCGTTTTAATCGCGGGTATACCGAAAAGTTTTTGTAACTGCACGAACGGAACGCTCAAAATTACGCCCGCGATTGTATTTTATAATTTTCAAGCGAACGCCTAATATTAATTTTCGATTTTCTCCGCAAAACAAACTTTAAAAAAAGCACGCGGTAATGTAAGCTGCATAACTTCCAGAACGTTGGCACTGCAGTGGTATCTATCGGCCGCCATTAAAACTTGTGGCAAACGAGTCGCGTACACAGAGAGCGCTAAGTTTTATATTTGCGAAATGAATAGTGGCTCAGAACAGATCTAGGGAAATGTGTTAGCAAACATTAAAAATGGTTTCCTGTCAATATACGCCAAACACAGAAATCAAAAAGGCGACTGGCGCCATCTATTGAATCACTTATCAATCACTATGTGCCGTGATGAAAGTATTCTGCCGCACCTGCGCTATGGTCTGTGACCAAATGTCGAGAGTCAAAGCAGTTAACCTTTCATTTTATGTTAGAAAAAACCATTTTTGCCAGCGAAGCGGAGATCGAATAAAACCGTTATGCATCTAAACATTTTACAAGTCATTTTGCAATAAGTACCTGATAACTATTGGTGGAGACGTCGCGCGCTTGGAAACGCGATCTCAATGGCGGATCCAGGGGGTTGCCCCTATACCTAGGGACACGAAACGAGCACTAAGTCGCGGCATCCTCGAATCGCCAATTTGACTTACTTTGGCACAGGCAGGCCTAAAGCAATCACCCTGAAGTTTTCACTGACCCTCACCAGTTTCCACTTTTGCAATTCTTCAGCGCCATGCCTCTCCAGTAGCTGGTCGTAACGCGCCGCCGGTATCAAAAATCGGCCGTCTTCCAAGTTCATTTCCCGATTTTCCAACAAATTATTTAATACTGGCAATACATTCCTTTCAGCTTTTTCCACTCCTTCTAGGATCAATATTCTTCCTTCTGTGGCAGCCCGCACTGCGCTCTGTATTTGTACCTTATGGAGCTTGACCTTTTGTTATGTTCGTAACCTTACTTGATCGAAATATTTGGCCGTGCCGCCGACAATCTCTCGGCGCTGCTTCAAGTCAGATTCAGTCGTGTCCCGGCTCAGTGACACATACTCGTGCTCCCGGTTGGTCAACTCCAAATATTGCATAGCCAAAGTTCTTTTCCGCGGACCTGGAGGTCCTATGAGAAATATGTCTTGCCCGAGGACGTCCTTTTGCATCATCCATCGCATGTGGTGGAGCGTAGTTTGAGGCAAATCGTCCTTATCTAAATGCTAGTTGTAGGAAGGCAATTAACAAAAACGGAGTACTTACAATAAAGTCTGGGAACATATTCCGGGTGTTTAACTTTCCCGATTTCTTTAATTATGTCCCCTATTGATACGGTGTCGCTGGCAATGTAAGCCCTAACGTTTTTAAATTCCATGTTTTGTGGTTTAACGCTGTTGAAGATTTGAGTTAAAGCTCTTATTCTCCTGTTTGCGGCGTTGGCGTTGAACATTTTACGGCGTATTAGTATCGATTTACGACGACAGAAACACGAAACGGTACTAAGATATGATTTATTTCGGTAATTTTGCAACAGTACAAAGTTTGCTCGTTTTTATAGGTTATGTGTACAAATTAGACACCAAAAATCGTGCAGGCAACGTTTAAATACGACATCGCAAGTAATTCACACTCGAACACCAATCTGCACACTAATATGTTTAAATATGATTTTAAAATTTTAATAATAGCCGAACGACTTTCTACCAGAAACGTAACAGGCAACCAGCAATACGAAAAGGTCTATGGCATCAAAGGCCTTACGGCGCTCTGTGTCGCAAGGTGGCTTATTTGGAAAATTTAACACCAATTTATTGGTTTTAACTTTGTCAGGAAGAAGGATTTGAATTTTATGACGCGGCGCGTATAACGAAAACAAAAAATTTAAATATTTTCGCTGCACGCCAAGGTCGCCATTGGCGTATTGCATTCGCGGTCAAATTTTTGCAATAAAAAAGTCAACTAGGACGGTTTCCGGTCATGCACTTTGGCGTTCCGATATATTCCTCGCCCCAGACCTCACGTAGAATTTTAAATAGGCCGACGTTATCGACTGGAACCTGTTTTCAGGGCGTTTTCGCGCCCCCAGGAAACTGCAGGTCAAAGGTCGATGACCGTTTCCGCTCGTCGTTTCTAGTATTGCGGCGGAGCGTTTTTCCAGGTTGAGTATTTGGAGATCACCTGGTGTATGAGATGTTCCAAAATGAAAGCCACGGTGGCCGCCACCCATCCGAAGATCACGCAACGAAACAGGGGCTTGAATTCTTTTAACGAAAACACGGTGCTATTCTCTTCGGGGGGCCTGCTCAGCTGTTCGAAGTCGGCGCTATCGGTATCGAACGCCATCTGCCTCCAAGCGCCCAACAAACCGGATTCGGATAGTCTCTGAGCGGCTTGCGAAATTTTCGACGCCAGGGGTAGGTTTTTCCTCATGAACATCGTCACCGGGTAAGACACCAAGGTGTCCTCTGCGCGCAAGAGGCAGGACATCGGCGCCGGCATGTATCGCGCCCCCATATATCTACAAAATTGGAATGTGTTCACAAAAAGTTATTAAAAAGAATTAATAATAATCATTTTCTTCAAATGTGGGACCTATAGATCACTAAAGTTTTTTTTTCCTTTAAAGTTAAAACGGCAACAAGAGAGAGTTATCAAAAAAGTTGCCTGGATCATTGTTTTGTTAAAAGTAACAGTCCGGTTGTTCAGGAGATATTTTCGGCAATAATAGAAGCAAAACAAAATGACCACGACCACTACTATATAGCTACTAAAGACATAGAAGCCCTGCCTATGCCGATAATACAGGAACCTATGAAGCAACTATGAAAAAAAAAATTGTAGGTTATCATATTTTACTGCAACCAATGCTTCATCTCTTTTGAATAAATCCCCTTTTCTATCCATTAAAAAAAAAACTACAATTATTAATACCTATAAAGCTGGAGAAAAGAATCTCATAACCGACCTCTATCCCTAAAATTAAAATTTGCAACTTCTTTTCTTTTAAAATTAATGATATATTATGCAACAAGTGCGGTAAACGGCATTTGACTCACGAATTTTTAATAAACGAGTGACTTAAAAAGCTTACAACACGAATACATTCACTGACATGACCGCCACAATTCAAGGCGTGGGAAATATCTCCGAAAATATCGGATTGCTGCCAATATCGAGCGGTAAAATCCCGGAAATGTCCGAAGAGGCTCGGATTCGGTGAAACGAAACTGACGTGGTGAAGTGACGCTTTCCGCACGCTACATCGATGTGTAATTAGGCATTTTACAGACGGGAGTAGAAAAAATAAATTCCTGTCAGCAGTTTCAGACCTCAAAAGGTAAAAATTGATAATGAAGAAAGTGGATCTTGGTTCAGTCCTTTTTACAATATATATAAACGATATTATGAAACTGAAAAAAGAAACCCACCAGCAGTAGCTATTAATGAAGCAGTGGTTGGTGGCTAAAAGAAGGAAAAACTAATTTTGCAACTTTCACTAAAACAGTAAGTATACCTAAGGATCCACGAGACGAATCGTGCCTGATCATTACCTTGTTGCTTTTGAAAAATTGATTTTTGTAGGTACACGCGCTCCTCACTAAACTCGACATCTCGATAACGGCGTCGTCGTTGGTACAGATGGAATTAGAGTCGAAAAAAAAAACGTTTTTATTTTTTGTCTGTCTGGTTTGAGCTAGATGCTTCAAATTTTGCTACTTTTTTACAGTTCACTAGGTGCATAAGATATTTTAAAATGGCGGCGATCGCACATTGGCGGCAATCTTTTTCCTTCGTTTTGGCTCTGTGACGGAACGTTTGGAAATTGGTGAGGTTGAGGGGTCGAGAAGTATTTTAAAAAAATTAAAAATCGCGCTTGCAAGGGTCTAACAAAAAATCATTTCTCCAAAACCGTTTATGCAACTGAAAAAATTCTTAACGCATAAAATTTGGCTCCGCAAATTTTAGAATGTGCAGGGTGCTCCGCATTCACTACAATTAAAAGATTGTGTACCAGATGTTAGTTTCTTTTACTTTGCCGTATAGACAGCTAAAACTTTTGTGTTTAACGTTTTCATTTATTGTACAGGGTGTTGAAGATATTTCGTGCTCTATAAGAAATGTGTTCGGTGTCCAAAATTTGCAAATATCGACTTCAAATTTAGCAGGGAAGTAGAAGCCCAGAAGTATTTTTTAAAGAAATTAGATTTTTTTGGTTATTTTGGCTTCCAGAAAAACATGCGTTTCTCCATAACCAGTCACCCGATCGGCAAAATTCTTAACAGCAGACGCGGAGGATCCAGTGCTATAATATTCATTTCAGCCATTTTTTTGATTATATATAGGGTTTTCCAAATATACACAAAAATTTAAAAGATCAGGAAAATTCTTTTCCAGGGAAAATAATTAACCCCAAATCAAAAATCGTAAAAAATATGACCGATCAGTTCAAACAGTGTCATAGGTCGCACCATGAGCTACAATTTTTGTATTTGCGGTTTTCGGCCATGACATACGCTGCTCGAGATATTTGAAAGAATCCTTATGAAAATCACACTCAATCTAGACACGATGACGTCATTTAATATTACGGTGGTTTCAGAAAATAAGTATTTTCTCAAAAACTATTCATCCTATTGAAAAAAATCATATACCGTGAGATCTACGGCTATAACTTTTATTTTGGGTATTTTTTGGATTGTGTACAAGGTGTGTCGATAGAAAAACAATGCGTCCCTCTAGAACAAGAAACCGAATCTGTTCTGTGGTAATAATAATAATTAAAATTATATTCTTTAGACGTTATTCCTCTAGAATGCGCTATATCGACGCCGTTTTCTTTACCATTGCTGCCTATTAAAATTCTAACTAGATGCGTGATCAAAAATGGATAAATATGAATATGATTAAAATAATTTCAGAAGTGTATGGTATGCAGTGGAATTATAATTCTACCGATGTTAATGTGATATACGCGGCTTTTACAACTAACATAAACCAGGTTGTAGATAGGATAGTACCAATGAAAAAAATTATTGATGACAGAGTTCCTTGGATGAGTCCTATGATACTTCAGGCACAAAAGACACCAGATATCGCTTATAAAAAGAACAAAAGGTGAGGGTTTTAAGAAGTGAGAAGTAGAAATATTATGAAAGAAGCATTGATCGACGTAGGGAAAACAGCAAGAAAATGTGGCGAACGTTAAAGGGATTAATAAGCAGCAAACGCAGAAATGTAGGCCACTTAGACGATTTGAAGATGATTTGGGTCCTATAGAACAAAATTTTGACAACTTCTATGCAAAAAGCATTCTTGACATTGTTGCAAATACTCCAAATACATAAACCAATCTTGAGGAAATTAGTACGGAAAATTGTAAGGAATTCACACGTTTTCAAACGATGGATATAAATGAACTAAGAAGTATTTCAAGAAATTGAAAAATCAAGCAACAGCTGACAACATATGCCATGGAAACTATTTGAAAAATATTTTTTGTGCAGTCAGATATCTATTGTTGTATTTAATAAATATTTCACTTCAGACAGGAAAAATTCACGAAGAGATCAAGATAAGCGTTATTGTACTTGTACCCAAAGTACCGGTTTCGAGTAAATATGGAGAATACCGGCCAATTAATTTATTATCGGTTATAGATAAAGTTTTAGAAACAATTGTGTGTAAGCAGCTGCGTAGCTTCCTAGAAAAAAATAAACTATTTTTTAAAGGGCAGTCTGGGTTTTTTCCCGGAAAAATTGGAAAGAAACGGAAAATTTGGGAAAAATTGAATTTTTGTTTCGAAATCCAAAAGCATTTTAATATCCAGGGAGGTGTACGTGTTAAATATTATTGTTATTATTGTTGTGTACCTCGCAGACACTTATGCCAATTGCTTCCAGAATTTTAAATGGACCGCCATCGTCCGCTTCGTCAGAAAGAAACTATTCTTTGCATGGTGTTACTCATAGTAAAAAAAGAAATAGACTGACACAATATAACGTTCAAAAACTTGTTGCAATTCAGTCTACCTTAAATTTAGAAGAAAATGACAAATTTGCCTACGATTCTAGGCCAGCTCCGCATTTGCAGCGGAGTGAAATGGATATCGAATTAATTGGGAATATCCAGGACGGCGATGCTGCGGAATCAGAACCAGATTCTTTCTCCGAAGACTCGGACCTTGACGATTAAACCCCTTTACGTGTACTGGCTTTGCAGAAATGACGTTTTTCTACTTGCATGTTAATTGCGTTGTCAGTTCTTCTTCTTTTTTTTTGTATACATTTTTTTTTGTTTATTATGTATTCTTAATTTTTGTTTTTTTTTTATTGAAGCAACTTATACTAACCAATATACATTTATATCATAATATATTAACTCGTTTAGCTGTCTGGCATTTAATTAAAAAGTAAAATTTTCCGTTTTTTTCCAATTTTTCAGGTTTTTTTCCGCACCGTTAAATCTCTAGGTGTGCCCCAGGGCAGTGTATTAGGACCATCGCTTTTTATTCTATATGTGAACGATTTGGACAAAATTTTGAATAATTGTTTTGTCAACCTCTTCACGGATGACACTTTGCTATCAATTTCTGGGAAAAATTACTTAGAAGTGGTAGACAATATGAACTCGGAATTAAGGTTACTTAGTGACTGGTTGTACGTAAAAATAAAACAGCATATATGGTATTTGGGAGTAAACAAAATTGTAAGATATTTTTTGGATAATTAAGATTTATATTTATAGTAGATTAATAGGAAATGTTTCTCGAATGAAGTATCTGGGAGTAGTTCTAGATTATCAATTAAATTTCTCACAACATGTTCATTATATTTGTAAAAACAATTGGGTAAAAGATAAGTTTCTTCGCCTGAGCTTAGCCATTGGAGCAGATGTCTTGTTTTTAATGCGATTATCAGCCCTCAATTTTGGTATTGTAATTCGCTTTTGATTTCTTGTAGAAACCGTGATGTTCATACAATACAATTGCTACAAAATAAAGCCATGCGGGCTATTCTGGGTTCTGCACGTTACACTTCCCATTCGTGTAATGCTTGGGTCTTTAGGGCGGTTGTCGGAGTCTCAGAGTATTCAGTTTTCTAATGTTTTGCTGATATATAAAATAAAAAATAAATTACTTCCATCCTACTTATAGGATTATTTAATTCTAGGTCCTACAAATATTCTCATAATGTTAGGGATAAAAATGATTTTGATATTCAGTTTGTTAAAAGTCTACAAATGCAAAAAAGCATTTTTAGTGATGGGCTTCGATTGTTCAATGCTTTGCCGACAGACACCAAAAATATACCGAATGTACAAGTCTTCCAAAAAACGGAAAAAGATTCTTATATTAATAATAATATTAGTGTGAAGTAGCTTTTGATTTTAGATAAATGTAATTTACTACGATTCGAATATATAATCATGAATTGCTTATTTGTGTGTAACAGCATGCATGCTAATCATAATAAAATATTGCATTTCATTTCATTTTACAAGTGTTGTATGACTAGTTTAGTGCTCAATTATTATTTTTTACTTTCAAGCATTTACTTTTGATATAATGATTTCTTTTAGTTCATTCGCATGCTCGCGAGACACTTGTGAATTGTATTTACATTTATCTTTTGTATTCGAAGAAATAAATATATAAGTAAATCATCAACAGACGCTGTGCTTTATTGCAAATAACTTAAAACGTCTCCCAGAGATCCAGGTCAGGAGCAGGATCGGACAGGCCCGTGCGGCTTTCCTGCGCCTCCGCAAGTTAATAACCGATCACAGACTCTTACTAGATTTGAGATACAAAATGGTCAAATGCTATGTGTGGTCCATTCTTTTATATATCATGGAGTCGTGGACACTTAAGGTGTAATCAATAAATAAAATCCATTTGGAATGTGGTTAAAATTTCGTGAACGGAGAGGGTTACTAACGTGGAGGTACGGTACATTCCGCAGAATCAAAACTTTGCTTACAAGATGAACGACTCCGGTAGGCATATAGCCGAGTCTCCCCGTTGAACCGTCATCGCGAAGCAGGTCTCCAGGTTCGGGCAGTCCACCCAACGTCCCAGAACCTTCTTGTCGAAGGCGTTCGGCGTCCGGTCTGACGTAAAGTACATCTTCGTCGCGCTGAGGAACATCAGTTTCAAAGAACTGTTCAAGATTTCGTCGCTAGTGGCAAACTCGACCTCGGTAACCGCCTTGGACAATAGACTCATCAGATTCGTCAGGTAGAACAGGTTGGTGTGAAAGCAGAAAATCAACCAGAACGTGAAGAAGACCCGAAGGGAGGTGGTTTTTGGCAAGGCACTCGGATTGCCGAGAATGTCGGCGAGCGTCCTTGTGAAGCAGCGGCCCAACTTCTTGGAATGTCCCGGTTCTTGCCGTTTGCTCAGCGCCCAAACGAGCACGCTGGCGACCACGTAGATAATCACCAGGAAGTGCCAGTGGATCGTGTTCAGGGCGATTATCAGCTTCTTCCACGAGACCATCAGCGGCGGAGACCTGACGCACCACACCAGCTTTTCGTAGTAGTAAATGGGACCGTAGTCGAGGAATCGGTAGCCCGGAGGGAACGTCAAAGACGATATACCTGAGGCGGAAAAGGCTATAGATTTAGACTCTTTTTTCTGCGACGCGTCCATACCTATATCAGCTGACTTTTCCAGCAGCGCGAGGTACAACCCAGACGCAGTGCCGTTCTCGTGCAAAGTGCCCCAGTTGAGGTCCTTCTCCGACACGCTGAATCGGAGCTCGACGTTCAAATAGCTAGCTATGGTTTTCACGAGCTGCACCTCGAAGCCTCCGATGTAGTTCGCATTCTTCCGGTCCGGTGGGTTCTGTGTCTCCGGTATGACGAACGGAGGCCAGTCTACCACCCTCACGCTTATCGAGCAACTGTGGAAACTTGTTTCCGCGAATTTTTGCAGCGAGGCTTCGTCGCCGTCGAAGAGGACGGTGCCGTTAGCGCACGCGCCGACGTGGAAGTAGTTGGTGAAGACGCGGCCGCACCTGGAGGACTGGGAGAAGGCCCCCCAGCCGTACAAGTCCATCACATGGCCAATATCCCTCTGCACTGTGATCAGGCTGTTGAAGATGCCGTTCTCCCATAGGGTCTTGAACACTCCCGAGATGGTTTTGGTCCGAATATGCTTCATCACCACCAGCGTTTTCGATTTCGACTTCAAGAGCGGACAATTCTTGAGACAGGTCAACACGTCGGTCAACTCTCTTTTGGAGTCCACTCGGAACACTAGCAGGTCGATTTCGTTGCCGTTTATGGGGGGGCAGTGGACGTCTTCTCCGACGGCGTGGATGACGTAGGTCGCGGAACGGAACCCCGGGTCGGAGATGGATTTGTTCAAGAAGATGTAAGCGCTTACGTTGGAGACTTCGGCACGTATCGAGGATACGCATTTGGTTGTGCTGACGTCGGTGTAGAAGACGTCCTTGCTAACCTGCAACCTGCCCCTCGCTAAGGATATAACAGCGAGCAAGAGGAGAGTTTCGTATAGCATGTCCGCGAGTCCGCTGGCTGACGCGGTTTGATATTTCCAGCGGCGATTTTTAATTTTCCAAATTGTCAGGTTGTGCCGACAACAATCCCGAGCTCAAATATTATTGCTACGGTATCGATTAGAGGGTGGATGTTTTTTACGTCAGCGCGTTTTGTAAATGAAAAAACGAATCCACACCAACAATAATAATAAAAAAATCGATGTGATTTAGAGTATCAAAATTTTATATTTAATATATTATACATTATATTAGTGTTTTCCTTAAAAAAAAATGCATTGGCACAGTTTTTGTTTTTTTTTTTAATGTTAAATGACATCGGAATTAATATTCACCAATTGAACAACAAATGTGCAAGTGCAATTCGAATTTTGCACGTCGAAAGATTTAGTAATTAACTAATTAATTCAAATATTTAGAAAAGCAAAAAAACGGCTTGCTGACCCACTTTTAGGTGAACTTTTTGCCTTAAAACCAACCGTTAACTAAGGGTAGGGGTAAAGTTAAATATGTATATATAGTTAAAAAAAGGTAAAATTAAAAATAAATCCAGTAAAAGTACGTTTGTTGTATACAAAACCAGTCCCAGTAGCGTGACGTCGGCACCATGTAAAATTTTCATTCATCACTAATTATTTCTGAATTTTTTAAGCTGGTATTGTACGACCAGAAATATAGTGCATTTATTGGTGTGACGTTTTAAGTATTTTATGGTACCTTATCCGCAGACATGGGCAGGACCATCCCGACAGATGTTTATTCTGCATTAAGTAGGCTTTGCCTGAGATGGACCGTAACGAATATTTGTAGAAACTTGAACTTTTTGCATGACACGTAAATGGATCGATTTAAATTTGATTAAGCATTGATGCTGCGGAGTATTTTCGAATGAGTAGAAGCGTTTATGTTAACACCAGGTGATATGTATCGTTCTTAACAGTTTAATCTAAATTGCAATATGTTCGTACATTTTACGTATATATACGCATATACAGTATTTGAATGTGATCCTTCCAGTAAGTACGTAGTTATGTACCTGATTCTCGAGCTTTCACCCTGAGGGGCTGTTTTCACTGGATAGTTCAAAGGCTGTACTCTATTTATCTTACAGGTAAGTTTGAAAATAATCATTTTTGTGGGTACCTGTAGATAACAAGATTCTTCTTCTTGTTTCTTTGCGTCATCTACATGCATTGGAATTTTACCATTAAACATTTTTGAAGGTTCCTGTTTTTTAACACTTTAAAATGTGGAGACCGTGGAATGAAGCACAGGTTCCCCTATTAGAAGAAGACATGGGAAACAACGCAGAATTTGAAGTCGAACCTAATGACAGTTTAGAAGACGTACTACCGCAGCAAATCAAAAGAAGGATCCATTTGTCTTCGGATGCTAAACAAGGAGGAGCAGCAATAAAAACAAGTGACATAGAACGTAGTAAATCGATACTTTGTACTAATTTCTTTATGTTTCAAGAATTACTCGGCGAAAAAGATTGAAAACATTACTTTGAAGGCATTACTTCGAAATAAACAATAATTCCGTATTTTGGTATTCTTTGCCTATTGATCAAGTTGTCTCAAAAACTTAAAAAGAACATTTCAAATGTTATTATAACAAATTGGTTAGATGCACATATCTAATTAGATAGGTGCGTATTTTAAGTCGTTTGTAAAACAATACTCAAAATATGCATGTATAAAATATTCTCTATTCCAATTATGCACTGATCAAGCTAACAATTCAGTTCCAAAATTTAAAAACTTCATAATTTTGTTTCTTTTATTTTTACTACACTATACTCTCGCCACGGGTTTGGGAGCGATCGGATGTCTTCGGTGTACAATGAATCTATCCTCACAAACATATGGTCTTGGAAAAAGTATAGTATGCAAATCAATGATTATTTTTTTCACCCACTCCATTGCTTCGCTAAATAAATTCATTGCTGAAATGTTGTTCCTCAAATTGAGAAAGGCTTAAATATTTGAAGTCTCTCTTTTCTATTCACGTTGACGGTCCAAATGCAAATTGCAGCTCTGGAAACTGTAGACGAGCTGTCAAACCATCTTCTTAAGTCTTTTAGCCAAAGATTTTGACGTATCCTACTGATGTTTTCTCTTGTACTTTTGAATTTAAGTTTCTTTTCTTGATGGTGTTGAATAACTCATTTTTATTTATGCATGCGTTGAAGTATTTCGTCGTTGGGGATCCGTTGCACTCATGAAATTCGAAGCATTCGTCTGAACGCACTGTCAATTTATGTTGATAACATTTTAATTGGCTGTACCTTTTTTGATTTTAGAGATATCAAGGTAAACAAAAAAGCAAGCAGTTAGTAACCAAGTTTTTTTCCAAGTAACATATGAAACAAAACACTATCATATTTTATAGAATATATAGAATATCTTTTTCCGATTACAATGATGTAACACACTTTATATTTTAGTCTATTCGTTTTTGACAAATCGGCAAGAATAGGATATTTTATATAATTTCAAGGAGTGACATGACTGACTGCAACAAAAATAATTATTTACAAATTAAAGTACACCAAAAACACTAAAAATGACAAGACACACTAAAGTAAAAATTCTTTCACTATTCTAAATGCTGCTGTATGTGACCGTCATTTTCGTGAACACACCGTCTTGATGCCATATAATCAGCGCTGATATATTTAGGGGTAAATCTTCTATATATTGTTCTAAGAGTTGCAAATAATAATCTCCAGTTAACTTTTGATCTATAAATATCGGATCCAAAATATGCCCATTTATGGCATCACGCCATAATTGGTACCCCTGGGTTTTATTTTGTGTATTTGTCTATGATTATTTAAAGACCAATATCGCGTATTTTATCTATTATAGCCCCTTCTTGTAGTGAACGAACTTTTATCAGTATATAAAATGTTTTTCAAAAAATTAATATTCTCATTATGTTTATTTAAAAAAACCAAAGAAAACTGCACCTAGTTTTTGAGTTTTACGAAATTTAAATAAAATTTAAATTTAAATATTTATATTCTTTCAGAACCTCGAGAAATACCTGTCTCTTCATATACCCTAGTAATAGAGGAAACTGGATGTGCTTCATGGAATCCTAATATGTTGTTTGCCTTATTTACTTCATTTAAAACATCTTGATTCCGGCATTTCTATTTATCATTTAGCACGTTACTGTTTTCTGCAAATTTCTTTACCAGGCTTGGAAATATATGTTTTGAAGGAGCGAAAAATCATTCTAACAATAATGACTTGGACAATAATGCAACCGTTGTCTACCGATATGTCAAACAAAAACATATTTTTATTTGTCAGTCAGGGCACTCTTTGAAATTATGTAACAATTTCCTATTTTTGGCTATTTGTCACAAACGAGTGGACTAAAATACATAATTGTAATCCGAATAAGATATTCTATTAAACACATATACTATACATTTACAAAAATATGATGTATTCTTAAATGTCAGACAATCGATAGTGTTTTGTTTTATTCGTCACTTGGAAAAAACTTGGCTACTAACACTGCGTTTTGTTTTTTTTTGTTTATCTTGATATCTCTAAAAACAAAAAAAAGTTACAGCCAATTAAAATGTTATCGAGAAAAATTGAAAGCACGGTACAATTCTATGCCTTATTGTCTAGGGCCAGCCTCTCACAACCACAGATCAAGTGAATAAGTTACACACTTGAATTCTAAGTGGGAAATCCGCTCTTGCAAAAATCTTTAATGGCAAATTATTGTTCCTTGACATGCAATTACTGACGGTCTTAAAACCACATTTCGTATGCGCTTTACGTGAAGGTTTTTTGAAGAAATTAAATTATAAATATTATTTTATATTAAAATGTTAATAAAATTTTGTTTGATCAACAAATAATTCTTTGTAAATAATTTCAATTCGAATTATGTAAGCGATTAAACAAATCCCCATTCTCCCATGTAAGCAAAAAATGCCAAGGAACCCAGTAACCGGAAGACATATTTCTGTTTGACGGAGACGCCATCTATTGACGGCTCGATTCAGACGCAATTCTAATCGTACGTGGTACCTAGACACTTAACCTCAGGGTTTCGTATCACGTGCGCAACTTGCGGTGCGATTGTTTTCCGAACAATAGAGTCGAAATTGATTTTTCCCGACGTACGACTATCCCACTCTGCCCGATACAGTCCCCCGATTTTTCCTACATAATTAACCTCGTCAACTCGAATGGAATTATTCTATGACGACCGGTTTCCTGCCAAAACGTCACGGACCTGACTGGTACTTTTGGGTTGATAAGTTAATTTTTTTTCAAAACGGTACGGGAATTTTCCATAATTAAGACGACGTCATTGTACTTTCCATTCGGCGAGGCGTATAGATGGTTGCATATGCGTCGCCCTTTGCAACGCATTTGAGTTAATTACTTTCAGACATTCTACAAAGCCCACAAATTTTTGACGCGGCACAAGATCGTCTACAGGGTGAGACATACAATTTTTTGATATAAATGTGTTTCTCGACGCTTTCGACGGCGACACAATTACAAGCTGCCTAGTCATATTAAAGGGAGCAAAATTAACTTCATATTCCGCATATTTTTGAGACGGCTCAAAATCGTCTACAGAGTGAAACGTACAATTATTTGGATAAGAGTAGCTTTTTCAAGGTAGCACATTTAACAAAACTGGCCACGCTAATTAAACTGAATAAAAGCAGCATTATTGTTTTTTTTTAGTAGGCCCAAATTGTTCAGTGGTAGTATGTGTAATCCATGCTGTACCGAGGATGCAAAATTTGGCAATATATTTTTTTAGCATTTTTACAATATATACTTCTAGCATTATACTCCGCTTGCAATAATTTGACAGATAACATTTGCAAATATATTTTTTTATAATCTACTCTTAATTACCTTTTAATTGATGCCCTACAAGCTATTGTCTGCGTGAATTTGTGAATTACGACATTTTAAGAATCTCCCACCCTTATGTTCTGAATGGATTTTAATGTTATTAAATCTGAACGGGTTACATCCCATACCCAGGCGAATTGAACACCATTGAAATGGTACAAAAGCTTTCTTGTTTAGGTATATGGGCGCCGTATTTTCACGCCCATACACAAGGGTGGGGATGCATTTTTTTAATATTGATCAATATTTGTTTGGTCCGCTGTAATTTGACGCAGATTTCAATCCCAATTCCGAGGTAACTTCAGCCACTTAGCATGTTTGGTGAAACGTCAGAGACAAGGACTACAAACAGGAGGAATCCATGAGTGTATTCTCGCATTATGTTAAACATTAATAATTCTTTCAAGACGCACGACGCGATATCGATATTATTTTAAAACTTTGAAAATAACAGAGTTAAAACCGTTCTTATGCTATAAACGGTTGGTGGTTTGCAATTTTGAAATGCGCTGACACTGATAGTCCCTTATTACCGCTCGGCATTGTGTCAAACGCTTAAGGGACGAATTGCGACGGATCAAGGGAACTTATATTATTTTTGTTTTCCGAGTTGGTGTGTAGTTTTTTTCTGGTAGATTGGGTTTGGAGGAAATTAAAGTGAGTACCCTCATTCCTCTAGTTCAAAACGGTCAAAATAAAAAAAATGCTTCTCCAATTTACATGCAGTAGCTACTATAACTTCATTGCAAATAAACAACTCGACATGTAATTAAGGAACACGCCAGCCTTGACAGACTCAGCCAATGCTTCAAATTACACGCATAGACTATTATCTGATAATTTTTTAAAAGGCGGCTACAGAATGAATATGCTGCATATAAACCAGTAGTTTAGGAATTTAAGAAATTACGCCTATTACAGATATCTATAAAAATATTATTTACGTTTTTTTTTTATGAAAAATATTACAGTTTTGAATGTGCGTGCGTGCGTGTTTGCCCTTTTACTGAGGAAGAGTATAACTGTAACAATATGTTTATCACTAAAATGATCTTTTTAAATTATATGTTTCACTAAAATATGAAAAATATGCACTACTAGCTGAGTGTATTATGTTTTTGTTAGTTTGGACAAGGACGATTTTGAAACAATATTCAAATACTTTTACCTACTTATATATTTATTATAAGGTCGCAAAAACTGGAAAATACTGCATCACATTTTGATAAATACTGTCATTATTAAGGAAAATTTTACCGAAAAATTTGACCAAAGTGTTTCAAGGTACTTCAAGGAAAGAAAAAAGTTCAAGTTCGATTTAAAAATGTCGACGATAACACAAATATTTTATGACGTATCGCTTTCTCGAGTGGTAAAGTAGACTTTAATCTATTTAAGACGCATCTGAAAACAATCAATGAAACATAATTTCAAATAGAAAAAAATTAAACTTTATGGAGTCAAAGCTCCGCTGGTTCCAATTTCTTGTATGATGATTGTAAAATCTTTCAATAAATTGCATTTTCCTCGAAAAAAAAAGGGCGAATTATTCCTCCGCACCAAACAGTCACTTTTTTAGGATGCATTGCTTTTTGAACAATTTTTCTAATCCCCAAATTCGAGCACAAAGCCACCAACGTGAAAATGTGCCTCATCGCTAAAGATGATTCTCGTTGAAAAATGAACTCCTTGTTCTCGTATCCATTCTGCAAACACGCGGCGCTGTTGATGATCTCGAGGTTTCAACTCCCGAGTTATTTGGACTTTATATGGGTGTAGATGCAAGTGTTTTGTTAAAATTCGCTGTGTGGTTGAATACGTAAGGCCCACTTGCCGCGATCGATGACGAATCGATGTGTTTTCATCTTCGGCTACATTTTCGCGAACAATGGCAATATTTTGATCTGACCGACCTGCACGAGCACGTTGAAGGACTTTGAGGTTAGTTACAGATCCAGTTTGCTCAAATTTTTGAACCACATTCCAAATTGTTCTCTCAGAAGGTCGATTTTGTGTTCCGAAAAAATCACGTAGAACCCGAAATGCATTTTTTCTTGATCGACCATTTTCATAATAGGCTTGCACAATTTTTACACGTTGTTCAGTCGTATATTGCTTCATGACTAATTTTGTCTATGTTTTGAGGTTAGAAATCTCATATGATAATAAACAGATACAGTGGCGTTTCAAAAATATTTGAGATTGTAATGTGGAAACTCTTATTGAATCACTCGTTACAACTCTGTTAAAGGGCCGCCAGATTTTTTTTTTTATATTTCTGAAACTATTTTTAACAGGAAATAATATTTTGGTTAAAGCTAATGTTATTCAACCAATTTCACATTAAAAAGTACTCGGTTAGTTTAGTTATGTAGTTTTTATGGACCGAAACTTCTATCTTCTGACATCAGTAATAACTTTCTCGTTGCTCTTAAATCTTTGTCTAACAAGCCAATTTTTAAGGTTAGGAAACATAGGAATAAGGGGCGAGGAAGCAATCTGAATGCAATGGTGCATGGTGAAACAAGAAAAGGAAAACAGATATGATTACTTCGGGAGTGTCGGTCAAGAACTGGCCAGTGAAATGAAAGGACTCCATATAAACTTGGCAAAAGAATACCTGTTAAACTCTGTATACCTCAATGAGACCGACGACAGCGAAATTAGATGCACAGTACTACATCTAAAATCCAACAAATCTCCTGGGATCGACGGCATGTGGGCGGAAACACTCAAAAAGACAGTAGATTTTATGGTAAAATATCTACCTCGAATTCTAATTAACTGTATAGACAAAGGGGTATTCCCATTAAAAAAAAAAGGCTTTAGTCCGACCACAGCATAAACCAAACTAAGACTACAAATGCTCTCAAACTCAAACAAATTATTAAAAACCAATATTTTTTTATATCGTACATCATTATCAATTTGGGCAGTAGCTACTGCACGTAACCGTAAATCCACCTAAGATTTTATACTTTATTGATAGAAACAATCTATAAACCATTAGATAGAAACCTTAAAATGCCCTGATCACACACCTCGCACATCACCTTCAAGAAATTAAAATATATAGATAGCTATAGATACCTTGGTGAAACATGGTTCGATACACACGACACTGTATCCAAATGATGGGCTGATGAGCGCCTTCAAAAATATTCATAATAACAGTGTTATTATCATGGATAACGCAAGCTACGGCAGCCGTCTGCTACGCAAAGCACCACGTTAGAAAATGATTTTTATTTTGAATTCGGTTACAAAAAAAGGCAAATTTTAGAAGCCTTAAATTCCTATGCAATTAAAAACCAGCATTCTTCTTCTCATCATTGCATGTTTAACCCCATAAAGCATTTGTGGAACCGAGTAAAATCAAAGGTCAGAACAGAAAATGTTACTCCTGCGTTAAGTCTCAGACATTTCTAGCTATGAATTTATTGTATGTATTTAATGTCATTGTCATATACATGAAATTATGTTTCTTGGTGATGAGCTTGACTGAAACTGGCTACCCGGTTTCAGTCAAGCTCTGAAGAAGTCAACAGGATGATTGGTGAAACGATAGCAAAAACTGACGCAGGAGTATTACAGTAGCCTGTGGAAGATTCTTTGAAAACCTGTTTTTTTTTTAGTGTAATTTAATAACATTGTACTCAGCTAAATAAAAAAAAAATATTACCAAAACCTTTGACAGTGCGTCCCTCATGTTCTGTCCTTTAATGGTCAGTTTCAGTCAACTCTGAAGAAGCCAACAGCCAAAAAAAAAACAGATTATACTTTTCGTAACACGCCATGCTCCGATTATAACGAACCGAAATAAAAGCAAATATACAATTTCTCTTTTCGCGTTTTATTTTTGATAGTTCATTTCGCCGTATAGACCCCGCCCCACCTTCCTCAGTCCGAAGATCATCGCCGCCGACGCCAGTCGGCGCGCATGGTCGTACCTTTAAAACTACGCTCGGCGCGTTGGTGCGCCGAATTTCGCCGCTGACAGTCGACTGTTGTACCCGAAGATGGACACCCGAGCGATTCTCCACAACTACACGTACGTGTTCGACTTCGAGAACGAGTTCGTCCACCAGAAGACGCGGACCTGGATGCAGGACAATTGGACCGTCGGGTTCTACCTGGTCGGCCTCTACGTCCTGTTCATCTTCCTTGGTCAACGCTGGATGAAGCCCAAGGCTAGGTTCGAGTTGCGAGGACCGCTCACCGCTTGGAACATGCTACTGGCCCTTTTCAGCATCGTGGGTGCTTGTAGGACCGTACCCGAACTCATCCACACCCTCCGGTACCACGGCATCTACAACACCATCTGTCTACGGGCCTATATCGAGGACGACAAAGTGTCCGGCTTCTGGACGTGGCTATTCGTCCTCAGCAAGGTACCCGAACTAGGCGACACCGTCTTCATAGTGCTGAGGAAGCAGCCGCTCATCTTCCTCCACTGGTACCACCACGCGACCGTCCTCTTATACTCGTGGTTCAGCTACACCGAGTACACCGCGAGCGCCAGATGGTTCGTGACCATGAACTACTGCGTGCATTCGCTGATGTACGGGTACTACGCGCTGAGGTCGATGGGGTTCAAGCCGCCTAGAAGGATCGCGATGCTGATCACGACGCTGCAGCTGTCTCAGATGGTGATGGGGTGTTACGTGAACTTGCTCGCGGGGCAGTACCTGGACAAGGGGGCGGTGTGCCACACCACGCCCCTGAACATAAAGCTGTCGCTGTGCATGTACTTCAGTTACTTCGTGCTGTTCGCGCGGTTCTTTTACAAGGCGCACATGCTAGGCGGTGCCAGGCAGAAACGGAAGGCGGCGTGAGCAGGGGGCGGTCGCTCCCCCCCCCCCCATTGTGATATTTAATTTTCGTTGTTGACATGTTATTTATTATTAAAGGTACCGCGTTAGCTGGTTTTTGTTTTATTTACGCGGTTATGCAACCTGCGCGGCGGCCTTGAGGATCCCAGGTGCGCGACCACTCGATTCCACTGTTTACCGTTTTAAGAGACGCCGAATTTCGACATACCTACGAGAGCCCGAGAATGTCGACACGCGTGGCACTCGTCGATAGAATGCGTACAAATAGGCAGCCAAGAAATAATACAAACGGACCCGGTGAATTTAATTAAAAAGTCGAAAGTGCACAATTTTAATAATAATAATAGTCTTTATTGAGAATTAAGATACATAATATACGAATACACTGACTAAGTCAGCTACTCAATATAATACAGTTTATAACAAATAATACAGTTTATAACAAGATTGTTTTCGAAAAATCGTCCTTGGGCGGTGCAAGGGGCAAAGAGACGCATTGATTTTCTATCGTGCTCCTGCGGACCACTATAGAACAGTCACAAAATCGATGTAATATTATTGTACATACACCCTGTATATAGTGTCTTTCTCATCTCGTCGAACTTCGAAGTTACGGCAAACTTTGATAGATATAAAAAATACGCAAGTAATAACGATTTCCAAAGATATTATTTCAAATATCTCGCGCACCCTATATGACTGACGAAACCTGACATTCTTCTCGATCCAGTTTACAACACTGTTTATCCCATGTTTTATAGTTTTCCATTTACAAAAACGGCAATTTTCAGGGTCTTTTAGATTTTACTCATAATCGACACACCCTGTACATATTATAGCCCTGAATCTTCCACGTTTCCTGGTCCAAGAACTTTTGCAAAATAGTAAATGGTTTTCGAGAAAATAAGGTTTTTCTGAAACCATGCAGTGCATCGTAATAATCAATGACGGCATCGCGTCTTGTCCGAGCCCCCGGAAAAGTGATTTCCACATTTTTTAAAATACTGGTTCCTAAATAATTCGAGTTTCATTAGCTGTTCATATTTCTTTCTATTTAGTATTTAATCGACGTTCTACAGTTTTAAGTTCGTTATTTTGTTAGTAAATTCAATACTAAGTACCAATTGGATCTTGTGTTTTTCAAAATGCTTTATGCGTGGTTTTTGAAGCAAAAATCAGAAGCTGTTGTGATTTATGTTGAATACAATCGCGATTTACATGAACAAGCTAGGATTTTGAATAAAAGATATCCTGAAAACCCCGTAAAACGGCAATATTTAAGAAAACTGCCAAACAATTTTTTTTACTAGTGGCACAACAAAAAATGTTCCGGCAGAAAACTAGTTTCAGAAGAGCACAAGTTGAGATTGTAGCTACCGTTGTCAACAATCAAGAATTCGACCGAAAATATCGCTGGAGAATGCAAACAACTGTACAACTACCATAGAAAACAAAAGTTTCATCCATACAAATTAAGTTTAGTACGTCAGCTCTCAGAAAACGATACAGTTTTTTGAAATTATGTCTGAAACAATTATTTAGATTCTAGTACGTTTTTGTGACGAATCAACATTTTATTTAAATAAATTTATATATATATAAAATTTAATAAAAATCCACATGTTTTCCGATATCTGCAAAAAATAAATGTTTTGGGTGGGTTTACTTATACTCTTGGATTTTTTTCTTTAGGGGTATCTATAAAGTAAAATTTATGTTACAAGATCTGAAAGACAAAGTTCAAAATGTGTAACTCCCCCAAATACTTTACATAATGTTAGCAAGGAATTCCGAACATTTAATAAAATAGTTGAAAACATAATGAAAATATTAATTTTTTTAGGCGAAATGCGATAAATAACTCTGCATTTGTTTGTTTTTAAAATATCAACATTTACCAATCAAGTAGATCACAAAAAATGTTTTGAATCGAAGGAATCGATGGAAACATTTAGACCTGCGAAAGCCACATAAAATTCAAAATACGTCGGAAACGGTTAGACCGAGTTATATGTTATTATATATAAAATACAAAAAATAATATACAGGATGTTCTAATTAAAATGAGAAAGTTGTTATTTGACCAAAAAAATACAAACACCCGGTATATATAGCCATATAATATTTTAAAAGTAAATGTCTCAACGGCTTCCACACTGCGGTGCAGAAGGGAAACGGAAGTCCCACTACACTATATTTCCATATATTCAACATGGCTAAAATAGATATAAACGCGGCCCTCAGTCCGGGGCACCCCTTAAGTGGGGAGAGGGTGCGAAGAATCCCCCCGTCCTTAGAAATTAGCAAAATGCAAATACATAGAAATAAAATAAAAATTGCTACATGGAACGTACGTAGCCTATACATGGCAGGAAAACTCGCCAATATAGATGCAGAAATGCATAGACTCCAGATCAAGATTTTGGGGCTAAGCGAGGTGCGATGGCCAGGTACTGGGACTCACAGGACTAAAAATGGTGTCCTCTACTACTCTGGTGGCGACGATCCTAAACACCAGTATGGCGTAGCTGTGTTCATCTCCTCTGAACTGGAGAAATCCGTAATCGATTTTATTCCACTCGGGGAACGAGTGATGCTTCTGAGACTGCTCACTACTCATAGAGTTATGAATGTGATTCAAGCGTATGCTCCAACAGGGGACAAGTCTGATGAGGTGGTTGAGGATTTCTACTCTACTTTAGAAGAAGCCATGAAAATAACAAAACAAGGGGAGTTAACAATTGTTCTTGGCGACTTCAATGCCAAAATCGGGAAGGGTGCTGATGGCGAGGTTTGCGGTGACCAAGGCCTTGGAACACGCAATACTAGAGGTAACCGCCTGGTACAATTCTGTACAGAACACCGTCTCTCTGCTGCCAACACTTTTTTCAAACAGCATCCTCGACGTCTGTATACGTGGAAGTCCCCAGTCGATCGTGATGGCCATATAGTGAGAAATCAAATAGATTTCGTCCTCATCAAGAGTCATCTAATGAAGTTTGTTAAATCAGCAACAACATACCCTGGTGCAGACGTAAACAGTGACCATAACCCCGTGGTGATAAATCTACAGCTTCGTTACTTCACTAGAGTCCAACGTCCAAATAAACCTAAGCGAATCGATGTCAAAAAACTCGTTGATCCCGATATACGAGCTAAAGCAACCGAGAGTCTCGAAGCGCGTTTACAAACAATAAACAATTATAATGACGAAGACGTGGAGCCTCGGTGGATTGTTCTAAAAAAGGCTCTTTTAGACACCCAGGAGATCGACATCGGGTATATACAAGCCTCTAAAAAACAACAGTGGATGACGGACAAGATCCTTAAACTCATGGATGAGAGAAAAAAATACAAAACCACAGACATTAACCGATACAGGGAGCTGAATAGGGCGGTCAGATCGGAATGCCGGAAAGCAAAGGAGGGTTGGCTAGCTGAAAAGTGCAGTGAAATGGAGGCACTACAAAATAAGCACGACTCGTTTAATCTCCACAAAAAGATCAAGGAATTCACAAACACACAACGCAAACAGATCCGCGATATTCTGAAGGACACTAACAACAAGATTTTAGTGAGCGTTGAGGAAAAGATAAAAAGATGGAAGGAATATGTTGAGACTCTCTTCAATGACGCACGACCCTCTCAACCACCTCTAGACCATGATCTCAACGAACCCAGTCCTGTTATCACGATAGAGGAAGTGAGACGTGCTATAAAAATTCAAAAAAATGACAAGGCTGTGGGACCAGACCAGATTCACGCGGAAACCTTGAAATTGATCGTCGATGCAGATTATACAGGCCTGAAACTTCTTACATCTTTATTCAACTCAATATACGAAGCTGGGAAATTACCAACGGACTGGTTGAGATCAACGTTCATCACCTTACCAAAAAAACCTAACGCTTCCCAATGCGACGACCACCGAATGATAAGCCTGATGTCTCACGTTCTCAAGGTCTTTCTCCGTATCGTCCACACTCGTATATACGCCAAGTGTGAGAGGCAGGTTGGCGGAACGCAATTTGGATTTAGGAACGGTGTGGGCACACGTGAGGCTCTCTTCTCTCTCAACGTGCTCACACAGCGATGCAGGGACATGGACTGCTTTATTGACTATCGAAAAGCTTTCGACTGTGTCTCGCATCAGAAGCTCATCGAGATTCTCAAACACACCGGTATTGATGCCGAAGATCTGAAGATCATTACGCAGCTGTACTGGAATCAAACTGCAGAGATTAGGGTAGAGGGTGCAACATCCGAAGAAGTGGAAATTAGAAGGGGTGTTAGACAGGGGTGTGTCCTGTCCCCCCTCCTCTTTAATATATACTCGGAGGCAGTGTTCCGAGAAGCACTGGTGGACGTGAAAGAAGGCATTAAGATCAACGGCATCCTCATTAATAACATACGTTTCGCCGACGATACGGTCGTGCTCGCCGGCAGCCTACCACATCTCCAGAACATGATGGATCTCATCGTGGAACACAGCACACAGTATGGTCTACATATGAACGTTGCCAAGACCAAGGTGGTTGTGTTCTCCAAGACACCAAAACAGGCGGTCCTCCGGATTAACAACCAGGTCGTGGAACAAGTGTCGTCCGTTAAATACCTTGGAGCCCTTGTCAACGAGACCAGTGACTCCAAAATGGAAATCAGATCAAGGATAGAACAGGCCAGAAGGACTTTCATCTCAATGAGGACCCTCTTCAGCAGTCGAGATTTGAACCTACACCTCCGCATGCGCATACTGCGTTGCTGCATCTTCCCAGCGCTACTCTATGGCGCCGAGAGCTGGACATTCAGCCAATCAATGGAGAGTCGCATTGACGCCTTCGAAATGTATTTGTATCGCCGTATGCTGCGCATACCCTGGGTAGACAGGATAACCAACGAGGAAGTACTGAGGAGAATGGGTAAAGGTAGAGAACTGCTGGCAACCATCAAAGAACGGAAGTTTCAATACATCGGACACGTTATGAGGGGAGAACGTTACGATATCCTCCGACTCGTCATCGAAGGAAAAATCGACGGTAAACGATCTGTGGGTAGACGACAGAACTCGTGGCTAAAGGATCTGCGTCGATGGT